TAAAAAGAGACTTTTCAAAGAATAAATGAGACTCTGGTTGACAGAGAACTAGCGCCGCTGTCACGAGAAATACAGCTTCTGCGGGTAGGAGAAAGTAAAGCTGGGAGAAAAGATGCATTAATTTCCTTTACTTCCAGAGACCTCGTAGTCACCACGACCATCGTCTCTTTCAACCTCTTTTTCAATTTGAATAATCTTTTAGGAGAAACAAAACATAAACATTGTATTGTATGAATTACTTAATATTCAATGTAAAAATTATTGTGCCATTAAATTGGTGTTGATGGAAAACAGATACAGATACATACAAATGTATATAAATTGGGAAAAGTGAGACGTTTGAGAATATTGGTCGAGTAGTGTAGTAGAGTCGAATTGTTGTCAAATTTATCGTAATGTCCCTTGCCAGTTGCCACACAAAGCCATGGATCTCGAGGTTGTGTAGAATCAAGAAAAATGCATTCACATTAGTAGCATATGTGGTAGCCACGAAAGGGAAAATAAGCGGTAGACCGTCTTAATGAGCATCCGTAACTGGTGTGTACAACGAAAAAATCCAGAGCTTTTGAACTATTTGTGATTTTGAGGGGTGTGTTGATTGGATATTTTGCTATATAAAAATGAATGGTCATGTAACTGAAAGATTTTTACGGAAGCATTCGAATAAATACTTGGGGACTTTGAGAATTCTGCACTGTCAAATTTTAGTTGCTAAATATTCCTAACATGAATATAAAGCACTGTCCACTTAATCCAAAGCCATTAAAAATACCTATGCACCTTTATGCTACCAAATTACATTTATTGTTGCAGTAAATTTTGAAGCTGTATCGTATAAAGTTTAATTATATAACTGCTTACTAAATACTTAGATTGTATAATGGACAATCTATATGTATATGTATTACTTAGGCGTCAAGAAATAAAATTAGTAAAATCTTTAATACTGAATTTTGTAACATCAGATAACTTTGCTTCATTGTGAGTTAGGTAATAAGTTAATCCTCATAATTTTCCAATCTTTGACGGATTTTCTTCATTTTAATTTGAAATTATGTTTTATTTTAATTTATTAATATATACATTTATATAAATATATACATATATATTTATATTTTTTATTTTGAAATTACTGACCAAACACAAACATCATTGTTTACTGTACTGAAAGAGAAAATGCAAATAGATGAACATATATAAATTGAGTCTATGATTACGTCTTAATTTAACCAAAATTTATTAACAACGTATCGGCTGAATTGTGATTGCATGTGAAATATAAAAATTCCACAAAGTGATGTATTGAATGAGAGGAACAAAATATTTTAAAATGCGTTATTTTATAACTGACTGTTATTTTATGAACAGTCAGTGTATTTCAAATGTGGAAGAGAAACGTGATCCAACGTTTATGCGTGGGTAAGTTATCCGAAGGTTCAAAAGATTAAATTGGGAAGTGGGGTCGTCGTGCAAGGGAAAATAGACAAATAAATCTAAGGCTGCGAGGTTTTGTGGACTAGGAAATAATGGTATTCAGAAAGAAATAAATTCAAGAGGAATTCAATAGCTCTCATGCTACGCAGGGTGAGCTAATAAAGCTGTGAACGGTTTACTTTATACGACTTTATCCACTCAACAGTTGGAAAATAAATCTTCAAGGGTGAAGAAGTCTGAAAGTTAAATCCTGAAATCTCAGAATTGAACATTGTTCTGTGAAATGGAATGCTCTTTATCCAATTTTTGGATTGTTGAACTTGACCGTGGTATTAAATTATTTATTTGTCCCATAACCAACAAAATTTGTTTTAAAATTTAGAAAGAATTACGTTAGAAGTACCAATAACAAAGATTAAAAACATTAAAGAATTCTTCGTTCGTGCATAATTTTGCAGAAGAAGTAAGCAAAATGAAATAAATCAAGTTTCCATGTTCCACGAGCCGAATTTCCTTACTTGTGTACCCATACTTCACACCCTCAATTCGCATCGTGTGCACTGCACATTAAGTAAATGCTTTCTCCTTGAATAAATAACTAAATTGTCGACATCCTCACACTTCATGGTCATCAAGGCTGATGGTTCATGCATTGTAAATACAATCTCGATCCTTGGTCAAGCAATAATTTCTCCATTTGTCGACTGGAAGCGTGCCAGCCAAGAGAAAGGAACAAGAGAAAGTAAATGGAGTGGATAATTTTGACGCGTGAATTCGATGGTCAGCTCGGCGCAATTATTTGTAGAAGAACACCATCAACGAACACACGAGTTGACTGATTGGGCTAATGACGTGTAATTTGTTGTGTCCACGCCTATAGCAGAGTGAATGCATGCGTCAATGTATGAATATCTGGACATGCCGTGACATAACATGGTCCCATTATTTAGTTAGAAGAACACTGCTTAATGACCACGAATAAATGTGCGAGTTTAGTGAATGCAGTCCAATTAGCAGATTCGATTAAGTCGATGGAGGGTGAATAAGTAAGCTAACTTTACTTATCGTTAGATTCATATGAACTGAAAACAGACTGAATCAATTGCTGACAGAGATTTTGTCGTCCGAGAATTCTCCTTTAAATTAAAAAAAATTCTTGTTTGTTATCTGCTAAATGTAAAATTAAAGTTTTATTACCCACAAATAAATATGTATTATTATTTTCAATTGTTGGAGGATTTTTTCGCTCATTCTTCTTTATCAAGAAAAGAAAAGTTGAGTGAATGATGTCTGTTTTTATTCTGCCCTTAAATAATCTGTGTGCAGCCAAAGAAGATTAAGAAAATAAATGATTTCCACCCAATTTCAACCTTTAATGGCTGCAGTTGTGGTGAAAGCTAAAACTTAATATGCTCCGAAATGGGTAGTTTGCATTCCAATTGGCTTCATCACAATTTTTATGTTGCACTCTTCACAAGAGATGAGCAGAATAAGGGAAAAGAAAGCAGAAATAATAATCTCAAGAAATCCAGACCAACCAAGGCAAAAAAAATCTAACCAAGAAAGGAACCCAGATTTCTTTTCATTTTTTAATGAATCATGATTTCTACTTTTATTCGTCTGTTCATTGTGATTAACTCGAATTCTAGACTTATATACAAACTTCACCCATGTGAGAGTACTAAAAAAAGTACTTTAGTGTCCAATTTTTGTTTTTGCGATATTATTCGTGTTTACTCATATAACGTGAAATTCGTCAATTTCCAACAATTTTACTATGCTTTGCGACAACGTGCGTTAAACTCACATTTCTTTCTGTCACCGAGAATCTCAGGCTGAATATACAAAATCGACAATTGTCCTGTATCTAGATTTTTTCACTTTTAATTTCTCAGAGTTTAAATTCTGAATTGAACAAGGAATTATGTATGCAATTAAAAATTCAAATGTGCAGTCTCCCTCTTCCTAACCCGATTGGAAAAAGTTCATTAAAAGTAAGGGTGAAAGTTAGTCAATGTTAGGACTTTCTTTTGATGAGAGGATGCATTTTTGTACCCTCGTGTGATTTACCAAGCCGAGATGAATCTACTCCAAGCATACTGCGACATATACTTCCTACATAATTTGCTCTATTATATAATTCAAGGCAGGAAATGAGATGGACGGATGTGGTACAAAATAAAATGGACGAAAACACGGGATGATTTTGTTGGAGGAAGTTTGTCCAACTAACAGCACTCTCTGGACCAATTTGCCTGATTAGCACTTGGTGTTTGAGGGTCCAAATTAAATTCAGATTTGTTCCAAAGCAATGTCCATCTTGGGAGTTGTTAAGCTTCACGATACCCACGATACCTTCAGATTTGGTGTGCTGTTTTTAACCCTGAAATGTATATCTCAGGTGGACCATGCAAGTAAAATAGTACATAACTATGCAAACAAGTATTTACAACGTTTACTACCAATAAAAGATATATATAAGAAGACGTCATACAAGATTCCATCCTTTGATCTCTCATTGATTACTTTTTCGAATTCGTAATGACTTTTTTATGTTCACAATTTCATGCCAAGCTGAGTTTGCACAAAATGCGTAGCAGTGTAGCAAAAAAATCTTTGATCTCTACCTTTTCATCTCATTAACTTTGTTAATTACAAATTTTCTCCGGATTGCTTCCTCATTTCTTCTAATGGGGGAAAAGAGCAACGTCTTTTTGTAGCTTTAAAAAATAATTTTGGATTTCCAATTAAACCCAGATAATTAAGCCAAATGAGATATAAAAAATCGAAATATTTACTTACAAAGGAACATACCGAGGTGTCCAACGAGTTAAGGGCCGACACCAATACCAAAATGACCACAACACATGACTTATTAAACAAACTGAAGGAATTTCCGTGTAAAATTCACTTTTCGTCACGTTGTGACGATATTTGTGACCAGCGCATGACCATCGGGTTGCCAGAGAGGGAGAGGTCGGCCGCTGAACGATCAGGTCTTGCACAGAGAAGCGTCATCGTCTTCAAGTCGTCTTCAGAGATTTCGAATTCTTTCAAATTTTGAAAGCATCTTGAAATTTTGAAAAATTTCTAGAATTTCTTCAAAATTTCAAAAATTTCTCAAAATTTCAAAAATTTCTCAAAATTTCAAAAATTTCTCAAAATTTCAAAAATTTCTTAAAATTGTTAAATTTTAAATTTTTTCACACTTTTTTCAAAATTTCAAAATGTTTTCAAAATTTGAAAGAATTTGAAATCTCTGAAGACGCGTGAAGACGACGACGCTTCTCTGTGTTCGACCTGATTCAGCGGCCGACTTATCCCGCTGGCAACCCGATGGTCATGCGCTCGTCACAAATATCGTCACAACGTGACGAAAAGTGAATTTTACACGGAAATTCCTTCAGTTTGTTTAATAAGTCATGTATTGTGGCCATTTTGGTATAGGTGTCGACCCTTAACTCGTTGGACACCTCGGTATGTTCCCTTGTTAGATGGCGTAATAAACTTTTTAACATTTTTAACTTGAAACTTAGTTTACATCACGGCTCGCATATTGGCATTACTTCAAGTTTAGTTAAGTAATTCTTAAAATTTGTGTATTTAGGTACGTAACTTATGCCGTCCAAGTGTTTCATACTAAATTATTTATAAAATTTATAAAAAATATGCATTATTTCTAATACATACTAAATTAAATACTGATACCACAAATAGGAGGATACTCCAATATCAATCCCACCGTCGCATTCATTCCACAATCATCCCCCACTTTCGCCATGACTTCCACCACCAACAATTGCTTTCCCTCATCGGGTGAAACGTCCCTCGTATAAATTACCATCCTCGGATCAATTCCCTCGAAATCGGTAAACTGTACATCCGTGGATCTCAAAAAATACAAAATTTCCCCCTCTCCCCCCACAATACTCGAACTAATGGGTGGATTTGGTTCAAAGTATGTGTTCTGCCTTGGCCAAGAGGTAAATTTATGGTAGTAATAACTTCTCGAAAACTGTAACTTTCCACTCGGACAGGGAATAGCTTGGACTTGAAGCGTAACTATGATGGAACTCGTTGAGGGCATGTTGATTCCGTCGGAAACAGTAATTTCGACATCGAGACTCGTGCCAGGAACTAATTCGTAATCATCTTTGATAAAAATTCGCAAATTTGTCAAATACTCGAGGGGAACGGGGTCACCCTCCCTGTAAAGGGGGCTCATTACGAAACTGAATACGTCCCCCCTGCTCGGGGAAAGTATGATTGGCCTCGCATTTACAAAATCGTGATCCTTGTCGGAAATTTGGACTAGTTCTTCCTCATTGTTTGTCAGGGGGAGAGTTTTGTCCCAATTTGGATAAATCGTGAAATTTAGTCTGGTCTCGGGTCGTACGACAAATTCTGGAGCTCTGGTATTCTTATCGACCCACGTGGCAAGAATTGTGGTCTGCTTCACGTCCCCGTCGCAGATGTAGAAAAAACGAGCGTCTGTCTGGTTCGATCGGGGTGGGAGGAGGTCAACGTAGTCGGGAAATTTGTCTCCGGGAGCGAAAATCAGGGTGAAACTGCCATCCGTGGGATTTCTGTTTATCACGGGTTTGAAGACGGAGGTGTGGTCGTAACCGTCCGGTCCAATGAGGAAGGCCGTGTCGTTGGAAATAGTGCCGAATTGTGGATCGGAAGACCTTTAAAATTTCGAAAGTTTAAACGTCTATGATTAGAACTCTGTTAATTAAAAGAATTTACCAAAGTATGAGGTTGACATCCCAGTCATCGTGAATAGACAAGTTTATTGTTTCAGGAATTTGGCATCCTGTGTTTATAGAAAAGTTTGATTAAATTTTGGTAAGCGTCAGCTATTTAAAAATATTGAGATCTTAATACCCAAAGATTCCGAGGTAATTACGGAACAAGTGATCCAAAGGTAGAAAAGGAAACAGTAATTATTTCGCATTTTGAAAAATCGTACAAGTTAATTCGTCACAGGATGATAATGAATTTCTCTTTCTTTGTGTTTTGCGTACTAATAAAATTCACCTTCATTTCTCGCCAATTTATTTGAGAATCGATATCTAATCAGTGCTTGGATCAATACCATTGCACTTTTATTTGTCATTCAATTCTACGCAATGTTTACTCATCATTTGGAAAATGCATGCCGAAGCACTGACCGTCGAACTTGTCAGACATGTGAATAAACTCTGACAAGCAGTGTCGTCGTAGAAAATGTTAAGTATGTAAATAAGTACGTTGCAAAAATTATGATAAGTGTCTGCTTGTCACAGTACATTGACTCATCAAAATAACAGGTGCGTGCACATTATAAACAAGAGATATCATTCAAATTGAATTACTTGGTACATAACTTTTGTAGTTCTTATTGACTTGGAATATTTTATTCTGATGAACAAATTTGTGTGATTTTATGTATGTACAAGTTCCACATACATGAAAAACATTTGTCATTTCCTAATTTTTATGGTAAAATTGACACTGACCTATGTGAGAAATAATGATGATGCAATTGAGAATTATCTTATTTTAATGCAATTTGTTCCGCAAAATAATTCATTCTTTATTGTCTTATTAATTGATTATAGTAACGCAGGCATTACTGTGGTGGTAACATTATTTTCAGCGTTAGGATATTCATAACTTCCAAACTTGAAGAGAAATTGTCCCCAAGAAATATTCATGAGAAAGAGGACAGTCAAGCAGACAAAGTTCAGTGGAAGCCCGGGTTTTACCATGTCCAGAATTCGCATCCGACCGGCACCTGAAATTAAATGTAAAATTTTCATGAAGATATAATTTACCTAATAAGTCCTAAATATATTTTCACTGAATAATCCAACTAATTAGTATGCAATCTGGGCGGGAGGGGTCTGCCGAGGTTTTTTTAAGGCCAAATTAATGACTTAAGATAAGTAATCGTATCCAGAATAATAATAACTATGCTGCTCATAAACTTACTGAAGACGAGGGCATTAGGTGGGTTAGACGTCGGTAGGATGAACGCGTATTGACACGCGATGGCACCAGAGAATGAGATGTAGAGTGGGTGGAGGTCAATACGTTTCGATAAAGCGAGCAGAATCGGGGTGAGTAGAGAGACCGTGGCAGCATTGGACATGACCTGAAATCAAAGAGCAAAATCTTTGGAAATATTTCGAATGCGTGCATTTATAGAGTCCAAATATTATAGAAAAAATATTGCAAGTTTAGCAAAAAAAAATGAATGCAACTTTGTAAAAATTTAGGCAAGCTGAAAAATGCTAAACGGTACATGGTTTAACTATTTTTTCGCAATCCCTTTAATCTACCCACCTCTGTAAAAACTGATAGCACGAGAAGTACGACGTATAAGAGAAGCGGTGTCGGCAGTGATTCCAGGCCGTTGAGCTGTTCCCCCAACCAGACGGAAAGTTTGGATGCTTCTGCACCATCCGATATTGCAAAACCACCTCCCACGAGAAGGACTACGCTCCAGGGAAAGTGCAATTGCAGATAGTCCCAACTCATTAAAGTTTCAGATGACCCTGACGAGGACGAATCGCTCGTTCCTATAAATAAACAAATTTTCAATAAAATAAGTAATGACGTCTTAAAAACTTTTGTTATGATGATTATGAAAATCGTATTTTTCATTAATTCCTTGTCTAGCACGCACCTTTACGAAAACCATTAAGATCTCTCGGGATAATAAACATGAACACGAGGACGAGTATTGCGACGCTAGAATCCCCCACCGCCAGTGGCATCCAACTCTGCCATCCCGAAAAAACTTGCGGATCTCGAGTGAACCAAAGTAAAACGGCGAAGAAAAAGAGGACGGAGACTGATTTTTCGTGGAAATTCATACTTCCCAAAGCGGTCAACTTGTTTCGGAGGGTTTGTCCGATTTTCTCAGCCGATTGGACAGTATTCGGTGCTGGGAGGTTAAAAAAACAAGAAGTCCAAGTGTCGCGCATGGCGGTAAATTTTAAATAATAATAGATACTTTTACCTTCTCGCTGAGCACTGATACTCCCACTGCTCGAAATTGAGCTGAGTTCGGCCTGTGACGAGTGTCGACGTTCATATTGCACGTTTGTGGGGTGACACGTCGGGGTCGATCCCTTCCGAGCACCTTGGCGCAGATACAGGAAGCCCAAGTAACTCCATACAATCGCCAAGTTAATTAGGGCAATCGGCATATTGAAAGCTATCCAGGTGGCAAAATTTATCTCTGTGTATTTGCCATTTTGGCCAATATTTTCTCTGCAAAAAAAGAAGCACCCACTCAGCGTCACATTTCACATCGAGATTTTACATTTTTAGCAAATTATTCTGCACGAGTAGTAAGATTGAGTAGAAACATTGTGTCTTTTCAAGCCTAATTTAGTCATAATTAATTGTTGACACTTTAAAAATTAAATTTCTTACAATGCGACCAAATCTTTAAAAATGATATTCGGAATGGATCCAATCATGACAGCAGTTCCTCCAATATTCGCCGCATAACCGACGGCCAACATGTAAAGGACGCGGAGATGTTCTCGATCTCCGGGATGATCGACGGATTCGACCAAGCCGGTCACGATGGGAATCATCATCGCCGTCACGGCCGTATTTCCCACGATCCAACACGACAAAGTGAAAGTGGTCACCATAATTCCTACGCGAAAATTAATAATTTGAGATGCGTTTAGATACGAGTATCAAAAACGAAGTCTATAATATCATAAAAGAATTTAAATTTATAAATCCTTTTTGAACAATACAAAATGGAACAACGCATCTATTAAGCTTTTATGATTTCAAAATCTTCAAACTAATTAATTCGGCTTTGAAATCAAACAAAAGTAAATTAGGTGCTAATGTAAGTTCATCCAAACTTGAACCGCCTTATCACAAGGCGGTTATCACGCACGAATTAACTAACCTAAGAGGAGACGCCACGGAGACACGCCGATGATCACCATCATGTTCAGAGCGATTCTTTTATGCAGCCCAGAGTGCTGGATGCCCAAAGCGAGCGAAATCCCACCGATAAACATCATCCCCGTTTCTCGCATGTAGTTCGAAACTACTTGAGCTACAAGAGAATAGGTTTCAAAAAATAAATTTCAAAAAACGTACAATTCCAAAATTCCCAATAGGTATTTTTTTACCTGTCGTTTGTATCCCAAAAATTGGGAAAAACACAACTGGGAGCAGTGCCGTTACTGAAAGTGGAATCGCTTCCACCATCCAACTTGCCCCCATGAGAAGGATAACGTATAAACATTTATATTTCTGAAAAGTCGCAAACCTTGTTGGGTTTCAGTTTCGGCAAAAATTAAATATTAATAAATTACTCCTTACTTTTGTGTCGTCCGGTAAAAATATGAGTGGTGATAGAATGAGTGGCATCACCACGCAGAATATGAGCCTCCATTGTTTCCGGAAGGAAAATGCAACCATTTATTTAATTTTTTGTCAATTGTTCTACGAAAATACTGTTTAATTAAATCCAGCAGATGTGCTGAGATGAGAGCAAGTGTTAAAGAGCTAAGAACTAACTAAATCTATATCCATGATCATCTGCTATGAGCTCTTTAAGTGGATGTAATTCGGCACACACCTGCTTTTTGTTCATGCATCCATGTGGATGGAGCAAGAAGATAAGAACGAGGGACAGGACAGTGATCACCCAACCGTCTCGGTTTTTTATCGTGGCCCAGTCCGCACGTAGACGATGAGATGAGACAATGATCAGATTTAAATGAAACTTGTTATGCATATAATAATAATACTGAAATAAAAATGAACTGAGGGGATCATGGAAAATTACCATAATTGAACCCCGCCCCCAACAAGTACATAATGCCTGCCTGGCATAAATATCTAATTGCAGAGTGCGAAAGAATGACATGATACAGTAGATATTTTGTTTTTATGTAATGTGCATGAATTGTTGTAATGATTGATTGTAATTTTTAACATGATGCGATATATTGTCCTTGTATAGGTCAGTACATGCAGAATACGGGCAGTATAATGAAACATTTTTTAAGTAATTTCGCAATCCCACAATGACAAGGGCAGAGGATGAACAATAAAGATGGAATTATTTATATATTGTATTAAGGTCCTATAACTTGAATAATCCAGTATTCCAGTTTCATCAAAGGAATGTGACTGACACTTGAATAAAAACAAATTGAATTAAATTTTCACAGAAATAATAAGCAGGGCAAGGCAAAGTTCACGACTGAACCTATTGTTGACGTTGGAGTTGATAAGCCTAATAGAAATTCAGAATTGTAATTTCTACTGCAGTTGATTTCCAGTGCTTTTCTAATCTTAAATGACCATCTTCATGTCAAATTTCCTACATTTCCTTTCACATAAACTTGTCATCTCAATGAACTTACGTATGAATTTTTATTACTGTCATGTACTCGTATGTACATATTTATTTTCAACTTAATTCTTAAGATTCATTACATATGTACATATGTATGCTTTATAAACCATAGTAATTTTCATGTTATGGGTCACTCCCACCGGGGGCAAAGGTCATTTCTTATCACCACTCCTCCTTATCAATATTTAGTTATTTAGTCTTCCAATGGAAGGTTACTAAATATATGTATTAGCTCAACATGATTTAAGGTTGTTGTCCAGCCAAGTAGTGGAAGAACTTGACATTTTCCTAAACCAATAAATTCCAATCTTCATTCTCAATTTATCAACTCTCCAGAACAGTAATTTTTAAGTCTGGTTCAAAATGTTGCCAAAAATGGCCAATTATTTGGTCATTTTAATAATCGTATTGATCTCACTCTTTTCACTGGTTTCTTCTTCTCCTAAATACAACCACCCTTATTCCAAATCACCGTACAACCGCCGCACCAAAAATCACCACACCCACTCGAACTTTCCCACTCCAAAAGCGACCAGAATCTCCACCAACTACACACCGACGTGGCCATCTCTGGACGCTCGCCCCCTTCCGAAGTGGTACGACAGTGCAAAAATAGGGATTTTTCTGCATTGGGGAGTATTTTCTGTCCCCTCATTTGGTTCGGAGTGGTTTTGGTTCTATTTAAATAATCAGGATAAGTCGTACACATCGTTTATGTCGGCCAACTACCCGCCCCGATATACTTATCAAGACTTTGGCAGAGATTTTACGGCCGAGTTTTGGGACCCTGATAAGTGGGCAGACCTTTTTCAAAAGGCTGGGGCGAAGTATGTTGTGTTAACGAGTAAACATCAGTAAGTGAAGGAATTTCAATGTTTTTTGTTAGATATACAAATTAGTATTTTAAAAAATATATCAGGACTGAACTTTGTCGAATATTTTGGAAATTTTGGCACCGAAATTTTGGCACTGAAATTTTATATGTTGAAGACTACAATTTTAAAATTTTCAAACTTTGCATAAGCCATTAGAATTAAAAGAATATTTTCAGAATTAAAGTGCTATACTTTGGACGTTTTTGAAATCTCAAATATTTGTAGAAATTTTACATGTTTTTGTTTTTAATAGTGAAGGGTTTACTCTCTGGCCGTCCAAATATTCCTTCAGCTGGAATGCCATGGACGTTGGACCGCGTCGTGACCTTGTTGGCGACTTGGCAAACGCTGTTCGAAACAAGACTGATATCAAATTTGGTCTTTACCACTCCTGGTTGGAGTTCTTCAATCCAATGTACCTCAAAGATAAGGCGAACGGTTTTAAGACCAATACCTTCGTAAAAAACAAGGCGTTCCCAGAATTTAAAGAATTGGTGAGTGAGTCACGAGTTGGTGAAAGTATTTGACAAAGATTTATTCAATTTAGATATCTTTTGCTAAAATACGATGAACTTTGTACAGGTCGAAGCGTACAAACCGGAATTGATCTGGTCAGATGGAGACTGGGAATCTCCCCCAGAATATTGGAAAGGTATTCTTGAATATTATATATGTTACTATATATTATGTTCGTCTTCGTATATATGTATGTAAGATATTATATATTTATTAATATTATCTTAAAGCTCAGGAATTCTTGGCGTGGCTGTATAACACGAGTCCAGTTAAAGATACTGTTGTCGTCAATGACCGATGGGGAAAAGGTAAATAATTAACGATGACAAATCCTGAACTCTCTCCAACAATTTAATTCTATTTTTAAAACCACTTTCTTAAATTTCTATATAAAAATACAAATTTTTGAAACCATAATATTGGTAATTCCCTAATTCCTTAATTCTAGGCACTTCCTGCACCCATGGAGGCTTCTTTTCCTGCCAAGACCACTACAATCCTGGTCATCTCGTTCCGTACAAGTGGGAAAATGCTATGACGATTGACTCTGGTTCTTGGGGCTACCGACGCAACGCCCCCCTCTCAGATTACCGTTCCTCGCAAGAACTGATTACCGAACTTGTCAGCACCGTCTCTTGTGGAGGAAACTTTCTCATAAATGTCGGTCCCACGCGAGAAGGGACAATTTCCCCAATTTTTGAAGAACGCCTTCTCTCCATCGGAACCTGGCTTGGAATCAACGGGGTCGCCATTTATGATTCCGTTCCGTGGGAAAGGGCGCAAAACGACTCGATCGCAAAGGGCGTGTGGTACACGACGAAACCGGAAGTGGGCAAGCTTTTTGCCATTTTATTAGAAGATCACTGGCCATCCGGGACTGACCAGATTGTGTTAGGATCTGTGCATCCGAGTTTGTTGAATATTTCCAGCGTGGAAATCCTCGGGTTGGAGCCAGGCAAGAAGTTGAAATGGGTGCCAGATGGAGATATGATTATCGTGACGTTGCCCGTTGTTCCGCCAGGGACCGTGAATAAGTGGGGGTGGACGATGGTTATTAATCACGTTTAAATTTTTAAAATATGAAAAAAATCGGGAAATGCACTATTTTACAACTGGAATCTGATGCACAAATAAATTTAAAATAATGTTGAATGATGATATATGTTATCAAAATTTATTCCCTCGGGAAAAATAAATTAGACACGGCAAAACTTATAAAATTTGACAAAAATGTTTACTAGCGCATTATTCATAAACTTCAAGAAAAAAACGTTTACATCAAGACTTTAAATAAATTTAAATGAGAAGATAAGACGAAATCTTATTTATTTTGGAAGTCCAGCCGCAATCATGCTCTCAATTCCGCACTCATCCGTACCCCGTCGAATCTTGAAGAAGCCACCATCACCCCAGTCGTAGTTCCAAGAGTTGGCAACTAACCAATATGGAACACCGTCTTCCTCCCCCCATCCCATCAATTTCACGGCGTGACCTCCGAGCTCAGATCCTGTCACGTAGTGGTAGACGCCTAAGCAGGAATTATGAAATTATTTCAAAAATTCATATCATATCATATCACTTCTAATTTCAACTTTTAAGCAAATTTTCTTACCCGACTTGTACAATGGAAAGTCCGCATAAACCGTGAAGGCTGCCTCGACTGGGCCGTATTTCATGACCTCGACCTGAATCTGTTCAACCTTGTTGGGTGTGGAGTACGATTTCTTGCCAAAGTGGAGATCCTGCTTGTACGGGACGGAATACCCGGGTAGGCAACGTCGGACGCATTTTGGTGTGTCACCCTCTTCTCCGGTACAGTTGGGGCGCGACCCGGACGTGTGGTGTTCGCATGGGGGAATTTCATAGGGTTGGCACCCCTGCAATTAAAAAAGAACAATATTTTCAGTAGATAATAATGCATACAATTTTCGAAAATCTGTTATCGATAGAAATGTACACATTTTGCATACTTTCAAAAATGTATCACATTGCTTCGCTAAATGCATTTAATTTTTGTATCCACTTCCGGTTTATTACCTGTTTACTTCCATACGGTCCTCCAGACACTAATCCATCCACGACCCAATATTCCCACGCGGCTGATGGAAATCCTACAAGAAAGGAAAATAATCAAAATTTTAATTTTTTATTACTAACGTCTCAACCAGAAGTTAACTTTTTGTGAACACACCTCCATTACAGCCAGCCCCACAGGTCGAGCAACACGAGACGAGATTATCAGCCGAGAAGTGGAAGCGTTGCTTGCCCTTTGACGCAATGCATAAACGATCCGTCATAGCTTCTGTGGCGGCGAATGCCTGAAATATCGACAATTCGTGTGAAAGTCTTTATTCTGTCAATTAAAATACCTAAGTTCAGCACATACCCAACAAGATCCACAGCTTCCTTGATCTCTAATTTCTTTAAGACTTGGACAATCGGGCCATTTTTGACGAGGGTCGAACTCACTCGGAATTCGGAGTCCAGTTAAGAGATGTTGCTTTTCTGGAAGTTTTTTATCCCCAGGGAGGACGCCACAGAGACGCTTTATGTAGGACATGTCGGTCTGGGGGTGGAAGTTCAATCCAGCCTTAAGAGCGAAAAATTAAAAATTTTGAGTTTGTTTGACGAGTAGTCAAAATTTGATGACATATTCGGTGCAACAAATCAAAAATTACTTTCATGTTATACAAAACAAAGTATACGTTCTGCACATCAAAACGATGATTCACTCGTATTTCGTATACAGCTTCACATCCCGTGGCCGTAATTTAAATTTGAACCCAACGAGGATTAATACAGAATGTTTTTAAAATTACGCCTATGCTAAAAAAAGTTGAAATTATTTTTACAACTTGCAAGACAATTTTATATTCAAATGTGTATAAAATCATACAAAATTGGTATACAAATTCTAAAATATTAATCACACACCCCAATTTAATTATTGAATATGAAGTAATGTATGAAATTTTAAATATAGCAAATTCTAATATGAAATCTGTTAAAGTCATAAAAATACTTTCTAACTCTTAATGCAACCGACTTTGCATAATTAATTTCAAAAATTTATCAAAAAACCTTACCGTCCAATTTGGCTTGATAACGTTATTAATGTGATTCGCCATTTCTTGGCTGAGAGGGTGGTAATTTGGTGTTTGCATATTTCCAACCACTTTTTCATCCTCCTCTGATGATGTCGAATCCTGGTCATCTTCTTCTCCGGTGTGAATCAAATCTCGCAAAATGTCACGCCATCCGTGGGGCACGGGGGGTTGTGGGGATGATACGGTTTCGTCGATATGAACGATTCCGATTATGAGAATGGCGACACAAAGCAAATTTTTTAATTTCCCCATTTTAGTGGGAGGAATTAGCTTACTAATCTAATGTAATTTTGTATAAAAATCTGACTAAAATCTAGTTACAACAGGAAAAAAGAAGTGAACCCTGACCAACGGCTAAACCTCGACTAAATCAAAGTTTAAAGGATATGCTTAAAGGAAAAGTCAAAGTCATGACATTTACGAAAGACAATGTAAAATGGGTTCGATTTTGGTTGCTGGGTTTGCTTTTGCTACTGCTGATGATCTACATTTACATGCGCAACTTTTCGTTAGGGTAGCTATATACTTATTTTAGATGCAAACTTTTACGTGGAACTGCTACATATGGGATTAAGCATATCTATGTATTATATATGTACGTATATGTATTCAGGACCAAATAATCATCCCCTAAGGACAAACCCTGTTGAAATAAAGTAAGAAGATATATGTCCATGTATGCATAAAAGAGAGGGCACCGGGCAGGATATTTTGCTGGTTCATTTTATTTTATACGGATGCAGATACATAAAATGTACATAAATTAGTTTACAGTTTGTGTAAATGGCCAATATCCAGTCCATGTCTAGTAAGTTATTTACGTGTTTTTGTAATTTTATTTTGCATGTGAATATGAATAAGTTTGAGCTTAAATTATGCTGCATTTTGCATCCCACTTTTTCTCGTGACATGATTAAATCGTTTATTTCATCACATGCATAGTGTAAAGCATATATTTTCGTGTACAATTTTTCGGTTAAATTCATTGAATATAAACCGCTTTAAATTTGACAATTGGCTTAATTGAGTCATTTAAGCTGGGTCATGTTGTTGGAATTTCGGCGTAGATTTTTTTTATATACGAGTTTACTTTGTTGGCTGTCTAGCTGAGAAACCTTTTATGCTTTTGTTGTTTCAATAATTCCCTTTCTTCAATTTGAACCTCATGACTCTTAACCAAAGAGTTGTACTCTATTTCAGGGTAGATTTGTCTGGACAAAATATTATTGTCATCATGTTAATAATAAGAAATTCTTGACTGATTACATACTTCACTGTTTGACTAACCTTTACAAGTATAAAGTTTGCATATGTGTGTAATGTGTCATCCTCACAAGGCATGGTCTCGTCATTTCATGGAGTAATAAACTTTCGATTTACATATTTTCGTATTCACACATTTGCTCAAATTCATGCACATTGTTATTTATTTTCAAACGTATTACTAATAGACAGGAAGACTATTAAATAATGTGTCACACTGTATTCAGCACTATTTTGCAAAAGTCATCCATTTATCAATCATAAATTCTGGAAAGTTCTATCATATGCATAACAAAAGAATTTCTGTTTCATAATCTCATGGGAAGCATTTCTTTTGAGTACTTGCATTTGAAACCAATTTCTTGACTTATTTTTTTTTTTTACAGATATCCTTCTTAAAGATAAATTTAACTATTTATGTAGGAAAACAGTATATTTAATAAACGATAAGACATACAACTAAACTTAGGACAGGATTGGAGCATGGTTTAACTTTTATTGAATATTTACTGCTGCGCATTACTGTTCTTTACCAGGAACTTGACTGTCAAAATTAGTGATTACGACATTAGCTCTCCACTCTCTTGTCAAAAGGTCATAGTGTTTAATCAAAAAGATTTATGAGTAGACTTTTCATGTGCAATGCCATTTTGTCCTGAATACTGAATGGAATGGAATTGAGCTTACATTTATTTGGCACATTTATACTGATATACAAACTCAACTTATTCGCATATTTGTAACGTTTTCCGTCTGCGTCACTGACCTGAGTCTATGATTAAACATGTGATAAACGAAATGATATGTTAATTTTGTAAAGATTTTGGAACCGGAAATAATTTAAAATTTTACTTATGCGATAAGAACTAGGGAACACCTCATTTATCTTATTCCATATTTTTATTTGACAAAAAAAACTATTGCTGATCTCAAATTTGTAATCCGTTATATCTTGATATGATTTTTCAATTCTTTCACCCTACAATTTAGATGCCCACGGGACAATAAACGTGTACTATTCTATCTACTGCTGGATTCAGTAGGTATATTCAGACACAAATTTTATTTTTTTCCATTCTATAATACATGTATGTACAACAAACGTGAAATAATTCATATGTAATTAACCAATTAAAAAAGTTACCAGCCAAAATCTTTTAAAACGGATATGTACTAGTTAAAAATTAAACTAATTTACATATCGATTATATATATTTTCAAAAATAAATTAAACGTTGAACGTGGTGAAGATCAAACTTAAATTATGTAATTTCTAATTTAATGCTTTTATACAATTTTCCCATTCGTCGTCTTCCTCATCCAATTAATTCCCCACTTTCTTTTAAATTTCTCCCGTAATCGTTTACTACTTGAAATCACAGCGGCACCAACTTTACTTGCACAACATACAATTACAATGTACAAAGGGGAGTGGTGACTCCAAAGTAGAAGTCCTTCGTCAAAAGTAGTTGTGGCAGCATCATGGTGGCTGTGTTGCCATAAAGTGAAAATAAATCCCATCACTAACACGACCTCGAGGACAACCATTTTTCCAAATCGGGGCGAAAACATGGTTATCGTTTCAAGGAAAAATGTCACGATCAGGGAAATTAGAAGTAGGCCTTCTGTTAAAGCTGTCAAAATGAAATGAGAAATTTATTTCGATTGTCAGAATTTTATATATTTGCGTAATAATGCGTACCCGTGTAATAATTTTCTTCGCGAATATGACCAGGGTTTGACTTCGTCCCCTCGCCAAGAATATCCATGAGGAGAAAAATCACAGAGAAGAATGGCACGACAAGAATTATTATCTTTGTTTTCAAAAAATTTTCAAATTATTAAATTTTAAATTGTTATAAAATAGTTTCAAATTAATTTTAAATTTTGTATGAGTTATAAAGAATATATATGAACTTACATGGCCCACAACGAACGAGAATGCGATACGCAATTTCCAATTGTCTACTACACCGAGTTTGAGTTTTGTTAGAGTTTTCATATTTTTATAAAAAAATTGCTTTATAGAAAATAAAATTTGAAATTCAATGCTCAGACTTAAGTTCATTTATTTGTGAAAAATTATCTGCGTTTTTAGCTGCCTATAATTCTACAACCGGTATGAGATGTATGGGAAAAAGTATAAACTGAGGTCAATCAGTCGAAAGTTAATAATTTATTTATCATGAATCTACAACAATTTAACGACTTTATACATCAGCCGTAAAAAGATTGTTCTAGTACATATTTGTTTTAGTTGGGAACGAGGAAGTTTATAATAAATAAATAAACAGTTGTACTACAATGTATGTAAATACTGCCAATTATGACAATCATATTTCTATCGCTTAGAACTTCTGAACAATCTATCTTTAGTTTATTTGCAATATTTTGATAAGATCATCAAGTGGGAAAATTTGTACGCAAAATATATGCTAGATTATCTCGTGAAGCCATGAAATGATTTCATTGAAATCAAAAAAAAATATTGTAAAGTACGAAATCATGTAAGTATAATTTGGCCAAGAATATGAATAAGTAGTAATTTGAAATGTTTTCTGACTAGAGGTCTGTCTTGTAAATATGAGAAATTTTTGAATTTGCTATTTTTCATAAATATTTATACAGATTACTGACGATATTTAAAAAATTGTTGTAAAAATTGTACTTCGTATTGAATTAAAAATAGTGTTCATATCATTCACGTTTTGTATTACTGAAATATTTCCACAATTTTTCATAAATTCGCAATTCGCACCAAAAACGAGATTATTTTCGAAAACTTATGTTCAAATTTTAAACAAAATCATGTAAATCATTCCAACAAAATTTTAATATTATGCATTTTTATGGACCTGCCAGAAAGCAACAAGTGCAAAGGTCCAATTTGCATGTAACATCGAGACAAAGATTTATGTAATCCTAACTTCATTGTGACTTCATTGTAAAATTCATTGACTTCATTGACTTCATTGAACACATTTTGTCTGATTTTGTACATATCTCACCTGATAATTTCAGCACGTTATAAATAAAACGTTTATGCACAAGTCAAACGACTAGCCGTTGTGTTTTTTCTTAGAATTTAACAACCCGAAATCCCGAATCGGTTTAAGTGAAAGGTATCGATTTTCTCCTCTCACCGCAAAGTCCCGATGTTTCTTTCCCTGCTGAGAAATCGCCACTTTCGTTACCCGACTTTCATTTCAATTCCTCCCTTCTTCCCAGAAAAATATAGATATAAACGAATTATAAATTTAGACCCCCAAATTTATAATTTATTTTTTTCGAGAAACTCAGTATTAATTATGCCAGTCACAATTTCCCTCTACATTTGCTCCTCATCGGACGGTTTCATCGCCGACAAGTCGGGCGGAGTAGGTTGGCTTCCACCTATGGGGGACGAAGCCCAGAAAAATTACGAGGACTATTTCGCCTCCGTGGATATGGTCATCATGGGGTCACGGTCATACCAGAAGGTGCTCAGTTTCGGGATGGGGAGCAATTATTGGCCATACGAGGGGAAAATGTCATGGGTTTTTACGAAACAAGACTTGAAATTGGAGAGGGACGATGTCAAAGTCACCAGCGAAGACCCCGTAACGTTTGTGGATAGGTGATTTTTTCTTCGATTTTTTTGCGAAAAATTTTGCAAATGTTTATGATTTATTATGCGTGTTTTGGTTTGACTATAAATTTACATTTTTTCAGACTCAATGCGGCCACTCCTCCAATAAACAAGGTGTGGCTCATGGGTGGCGCCGAGCTCACCAAATCCTTTGCTGCCGCCAATCTTATCGACGAAGTCATCCTTTTCACGGTAAATAAAGCAATTGGGGAAGGAATTCCGCTGGGGGTAGATCTCACACCTTTCGACCAAGTTGACGAGGGCGTCATGGGGGAGGAGTTCAAATTTAAAATTTACCGAAGAAAGAATACTGCTTAATTTTACTCCGAATTTGCTGAACTTTTAAAAATATTAGAGCCACCATTATCGTTTTGTCAATGTTAATTTCATATGAAGCAAAATTGATTGCCAAAGTTATATTTTGTAACGCAGACTTGTGTTGTATTTTTTTGTCCTAATTCTGTATTAATTCGCAAGTTATTAAATGTGCAATAAAAACTTGTAGATATGTAAAAAATGTATGCAATTCTGTACAGATACGATATTTCAGCAAACATTCAATTTACTAAGATTTTTCACAAATCTAAAAACTTTTTGACAATCTCTGCTATAGGTTTTGGATTATCCATATGAAAATGATGATATCCATCAGTGTTATGCCGTTCCACATTTTCTTGTCCTAAGCTGTTTTTTAAAAATTTAAAAAACTCCTCGATCTCTCGATCTGTTTCGAAAACGTTGCCCGAATTTGCTTTGATAAAACAGATTGGAGATTTTATATGGGTCGCTAGTTCTTGTAAATGCGTAGTCGTAAATCGTCCTTCCTGTCCAGGAAATTCCGATGGATTACTGAGTTAAGTAATGTGCTGTTGTTAAGTAATGTGCTGTGCAACAACATTTATTAGAAATTTTTGAAATGGACTTCATACGTACAAACGAATGATGTAGAAGTAAGATATATAGAAACGAAAAACAACAGAGAAAAAAATATAGTCATCAGAACCCTATGTTTTGATTGAACTAGACATAGTGTATAATAGCTAATACGCATCGGTAAAAAAAATCAAACTAATTATTTGATACTATTTAAATATTTTAAATAGTAGTCCAGTCCAGTATTTTTAGTTAGTCAGTTAGATATCCGAGTTGTAAACAATTTACTTAAATTATGCTTTCTTGATGACGGGAAAATTTAGTTTCGTTTGCTTTGTTGGTTGAGTTTGTATCGGGATCAGTGCTCGACGCTTTAACATCACTTCAGGTGCTGTTTTAGCGTCATCCCGAGGACTGGTAGTTACTACGGTCTCATTTTCCGACACCTTCTCAGGTTTATTTTCCTCCTTCCCACTTTCGACCTGTCGAACAGCCAATCTACAAAATTGTTCATATTACGTAAGACTGCCAATGTCTATCTTAATTTTATTTATAACAACCTCCTAGCACTTATTATCTTGATTGGGGTTCTCTTCATGGTTGTTCTTCGATCAACACATCCTTTGTTAACATGTGTATTGAGACTATCACGTTCGGAAAACTTGTGTCCGCACCCGCAACATGTGAAAGGTTTGATACCAAGATGCGAATTATTATGGCTGCAGAATAAGTACCAAAATTGTAAGTCTCAACAAATTTTAGTTTTTAAATTTTGTTAGTAATAAGAAAAAATATTACCGGGTCAATCTTGACATGTGAATCGTCACGAATTTACACCCTTCGAAATCACAAACCAGTCTGGGTTTATTAGATTTGGCAACATATGCAGGCAAACCCTTCGCCTTAGTCTTAATCAATGGCAATGGCAATGGCACGGCGTCAACACTGACAACTCTTTTCCTGGCTAGTTTTATGACGGCCCTGTGTTAACAAAAATACTGTTGTTAAATTGAATATCTAGTGCGATAATTATAATGAATGAAACAAGTATTACATTAACATGTCATCTAGCTTCTTGAGTGTTCCGTTTTCAGCTAGGAACCGTTCCCCATTTTCAGGACGAATCGACCCTTATCGTCCCCTTTCAATCGTCGTGCACGGTGCCTCAGCTGTAATCCGGTGTATGCGTCGGATGCAAAAAGTTTAAGACGGATGACATTTTCTTTCAGCGCTGTGCATCCCGGCGTAATAGCATCCCTATTTGTGTCACAAATGTTATTTCATATTTTTTATGCACATTGTAAGGTAGTAAATACAAATATATGACTGTTTATACTATACTTACTCATAAGAACACCCACCGTCTGTCGAACCCGTCTTTTGCAGAGTTTTCCTTTTCTGTTGATTTTTCGTTACATACAAATTAATTTCATTCGTACTAGTTAGAGCCGAGTAGCCGAATGTAAAATCTCTAATTAGTTTCATGCTGTCTGTCCAGTATTGCACAAACAGGTCGTGTATTTCATATACGTCACCTGAAAATAAAATGTTTATTAATATTTTGGGAAAACAAATTCTGATGTGAAACAAAATTACTTTTTAGGGCCTCTGCTGTCCGAGTTGTAATGAGGTCACTCTCCGGGTCGAGGTAGAACACTTCATTCTTCCCAACACTGTCTAAATTTAACCTTTCACCGAGCATTTTGAACAACAATTTATTACGATAACGTTTTCCTACTAAGCCACAAAATCGTTGTGGGACACAAACATCAGTTTCAACTTTCCCACTATTCTTCTCTTGCCCACATACATGAGTTTTCGAGGACTTCCCGTCACAAATGTGTATCAGACCAACCAAATTGTTAATAATGAAGGAGACAAAATCCCTTCAAAATGTCCAGGGATAAGGGTACGAAGATTGTGCGAATATTGAAATCTAATAGACAGGAAGTACTATTAATTTTAAGACCATAATGGCGAAATTTGTAAGTTTTTTACAAGTCTTTCTCCCCTTGTACTGGTATTGCGCCCCTTTGAAGCAAAATTCTACTTCCTTCCAAAGAGAGTGGATTTTGTCGTTTTCGTCCTTCATAGAATTTTTGTACTAATTCATCAAATTTTAACCCCTTCGGGGGAAGTTTAGCTTTCTCTTCGACTTCAAACACTAAATCAAGTGAGGATTTTAAAACTGCTATGAGCGGATAGTGCTGAATTGTACGGATGTTATCAAGAGCGACAAGTTTGTGGACGGAACTGAAAAAGAAAAACACATTTTTTAATGCAATTCAGAAAATCGCCGGAAATAAAATTATTATTTTCAACTTACTTGGGATAAAATGAGGTAAAAAGGTATCCTATAATTCCGCCCATCGAATGTCCTATGCAGGACACCTCTTCCCATTCGAAATGCGACAATACTCTTCTAATTGCAATTAATGCCTCGATATGCGCATCATACCAAACCTGCGGACAATACGTGGTCAATCCATGACCGGGAAGGTCGAGGGCGAAAAATGTAGAGGGTGCATTTGAGTCCGGTGACATTAAGAGGGGGATGAGGTTATCGAACGATCCTGCATTATCGAGCCATCCGTGCACACAAATTATTGGAGGGTGTGGTTTGGTTTGAGTGAGTTTCTGACCGGCAGATTTCCATAATTTTCCTTAAAATTAAGAAATTCAACTTTAGTTTTAATCGAAAATTATTTTTTTCCGTCAAAGAACCTCACCTGCAATTACTCCACCTCCTGGGACATCAATTTTGACCTCGGTAATGGTATAATTTTGTGAGGATGATGATGAATTTCTAACATTTCCTGAGTTTAGTTTAAACTCTTTTAAAAAATCTTTGTTTATTATATCCAGTAAAGTTCTACGATGAGGTGTAATTAGAGTACGGCTTATTAACAGACTAGTTAATCTTAATACTGTCATAATGGCTATTTTTCAATAATGAGTTTTAAATCGAAATCAAATTAACCTAAATTATCACACCAGCAGTAAAAATATAATATTTCTCTGTCGGATTTTCCTTTTCGCAAAAACAAGCATGATGAAATATTGCACGTGTTAAAAAGTGAGACAGTTTCATGATGAACTTTCATCCATAGGTACATAATATTAGGATTTATTTACCTCAACAAATTGCATTATGTAGTTAAACATCGAATTTTAATTTAGGCTACAATAAAATATTTATAGTTAATTTAAGAATTATTCTCATTATTCTTGCTTAAATTAGTATGTATTTGGAATATTCATGTAATGAAATCATAAAAACATGCAAAAGCGACGATAAAATATTTTCATATTTTATCTATGCATTTTATGCAACAAGCCTGGATTTTAACAAGACCGAAATCAGAAAATATAAGTATGCATCACACTTTAAATTTAAAAATTAAATATTGACGTATGTACATTTAAAATCCTTCCATTATAATTCTGCATGCACAAAAATAATCCTTGCACGATGATAAGTCGTTATCTATCTATTTAGTATGCCAGACATATATACCCCATCACACCATGAGGATGATTATGGTACCCCACCCATCCTAAGATCAGTTATGTATCATCAATAACTATATGAGAACAAGATTAAATAGTTGGGCATGATTTCATTCCTGAAAAAGATACGATAAGCTAACCACCGTAAAACAAACCAGGGAATGCGCCGTTCGATCATCGATGCAATAATTATGTCATGATGGGATGATAATGCCTCAACATTTACCTGTCACGATTAGTAATTTGTTCAAGAATATTAATCGTGTCATTTCATATCTGCTCCAATTTCACGGAGGTTAGAGGTTGACAAAAGTACGCACATACATATGCGTAAAATCCAGAAATTCAATCAAATATAGTTTCATTTTGGGATAGAGATCACAATTAATAATTTTTCAGGTAAAAAATTATCTAGAAAATTTCCAGAAAATAAATAAAGTGTACCATATGTGGAGTAATTAGTTAAAATATTATAATGATTTTTTTAACAGAATGTGCACCTGTATGGGGAAATACCTGTCAAAAATATTCTTCTGCTGTGGGAAACACACGGGAAGCTATGATTTAGAAAAGTTTGAAAAGTCCGTACAGCTCAAAGGGACAGTTCCAGTCGTGGGGGGAGGCGATAAGTAGTCCTGAGGATGTTGGTGATAAGTAAACAGCAATGTGAATGTTTAGGAGTAAATGTTTTGAGTACTTTAGTTAAGGTGTAAAATGTTTGATTTTTATAATATTTCGGCCACAATTCAAAGGGACGCACAATATGCAGATTTTATATTTTATAAACAGTTTGTCAATTTATTTATATGAATTAAGTTTAATTTGTTGAACAGTTGAACAATTTGATTTAATTAATAAGACGGATAACTTAAATTTTTAATTAACGCAGTAGCCAAATTAGATTCGTGGATTAAATTAAATTTGAAGTCAGTAATGACAGTAACAAAATTAATGAATATTGTAAAATATTTTTATAAATAGCTAACGATTCAAATTTGATATCAATTTTGAAATTCGATAACTAACGAAATGAACAGATTCGAATAAAAATTAATTTGTAAATAACGGAAACACTGCAATAATAATTACTATCATCACAAAAGAATTTATACCAGAAGAATGTATTCCAAATTCTAATTTTTGATTAAAAAAGCCTTGAAATTTTGAAGTATGTGCATTCTATCAAATAATTAATTGATAAATTCGGATAACAATACGTGAGGACAGCTCAGCCTTGTAACAAAACCTATATTTTCTTAGCAAACCCATTTTAAACGGAAATATCCAAATTTCCAAACATTTTCCCATAACCGCCTCGCCCAGGGTCGTAATCCTTTCGAAACTCGTCCCTGACTTGACCCCCCGTTTTTCCTCTTCCGAACTGACGACCTTCTTCGAACCCAGCGTCCCAATCCGTCCTCACGACACGATCGTCAAGCCGAGTCCCATTGACGTAACGCATCGAATTTTCGGCATCTTCTCGCGTATAATATTCCACGAAGCAGAAACCGCATGGAGTCCGTTTAAAGCGATCCAACCCCATGATGACGCGTCGAACGTCCCCACATTTCGAAAAAAGTTCGTGAATTTGATACTCTCGGGTGAAAAAGGAGAGATTTCCGATGTAAAGAGTGGTGGAGGTGTGAAGACGAACTTCGAGATCTTGAGGAGTGCCCTGTCAAATTGGGTAGAAATTATTAGTTAATTATTATTTTAAAGCATTAAGATGATCGTTGCAATTCCTAATTAAATGTGGCATTATGGAAATCAAAACGAGTTGAAAATTGCAAGTCATTTTGTTGTCAATTTTAAATATCAAATTTTACTACGTTAAAAAAAACTAATGGTTAGAAATTAGAATTCGATCAGTTAATTTTGATGAGAAACGAACATATAATAATTTAAAATGGTGACGATCGACCGACATTTTTATACTTCTACCGTTTAGTAAAGTTAGAGAGATCAACTCGATCCCATTAATTAATTATTCTATGCATTAAATAAATTAGGAATTAAATACGATTTAACTATGCACCTTGAAAAGTTGGTCTCGATAATCGCTCAATTTCGCACTCATCTTGATCAGCCGGGTCTACTCTCCAATACCACGAGGAGCACTAAGTTCCTCCCCCCTCGAACAAATTTCACCGACTAGCAATTAGCAATTAAATTACTTCAGTCAGGATTTTAAAAGATCTGAAATTGCAGGAACCAAAAAATAAACTTTCATTTGAACAACCGGCGCTTGAGTCGCAAAAAAACGGAGCCAAAACTGCCAAAGTCTCACACCACCAGTAGGAAAAAACCAGACTTTAATCTGTCTGCACGTGGTTTCGCAAACAAACTAAACTACACCCAATCCTGTCTGAGGTTTGGTTTAATTATTTTGTTATTATTTATTCCTACTTCCGAGTGAGACCCGGGTTTTTTTCTTGTTTGGGTGGGTAATTGTCCTGCGGGTAGTTCGGATCCAGACGGAAGTTAACACAGAACAAATGAGGTTATTTTTTCCCTTTATTCTAATTAGATTGGACAAAGTCGAAGGTCGTGTTTTAATTTTAAGACGCAGTCGGCATGACCTTCATTAATTAATTAAAGAATAGTAGGCTTCAAATCGATTATTAAGCAGCAGATTAGGGGTTGATTATTATTCTTAAATGATTGTAAATTTCAAACGAAATTGAATAAATAAGCGATAAAATTTTCCAATTGGGTTGAAGCAAATAGATATGTAGCTATAAAAAATTGGTAAACATGATTAATTATATAAATATTTAACTCAGGGGTGTTTTGTGTTATAATCACATTGAAGTTATCTCGTTACTACTGTCGCAATAATTTTACTTGCCCTGCTTTCCAGTTTTTAAGCAGTAATGAATTTAATACAAATGCATTACTGATACAAATTTTCATGAACCGTTTCAAATTTCGTAATAAAAATTCAAACGTTATGTAATAATTAGTCATAGTCTGATTTTGTCTCGCCTGTGGTCTGGCTGGTCTCGTGTTTATGAGTCTAAAGGTCAATATTTAATAACATTGTGATGACGAGGTGCTAATTAGTTGTGGTGTTGTCTGTGAATAATTAAATACTAATTAGGATTTCAGTCATTTCTGTTTCACTTGTGAACTGGTACACTATACGCACGTACGAATCTTTGCTGATATTGATAATTATTTTGTTATACATTTTCAGAAATCTGTGATAGATCCTGATTCCTGTTTCACAAATTGTTAATTTATTCTTAAGTGGTAATCGCCCCATAAAAATTTCGTGACCATTGGTCTCCCTCCTAAAATGAGTCCACGCAGTGGGGGTGGCGTCTACAGAGAAGTTTCATGGCGACATTTCATCTATGGAGGAGCTGCATCGTGTCTTGCAGAATGTGGTAAATTTTATAACTTGCATATTCATTTAAATGGCATTCTTTTTATTTGTCATTTGTATGTGACTTAATTAACTGTACTAATTTTGTATAATTGTAGGAACTTTTCCCCTCGACACGACAAAAACCCGGTTGCAAATTCAAGGCCAACAACCCACCCATCTCGTTTCCTCCGGTGTGTCGCCAATTCGATCAAATTATTCTGGAATGCTTGACGCTCTCGTGAAAATACCGAGAGAGGAGGGATATTTGGCTTTATACAGAGGGTACTAATTTGCATGATCAATATAATTTGGAAAATTATAGTTTATTTATTTTGGTCAGAATCTCGCCCGCAATTCTACGACAATCAGTCTACGGTTCGCTCAAGTTTGGTGCTTATTACGCCTTAAAACGGCTAATTCCGCAAGAACAAATTTATTCTAATGTGGCATGTGCAGTTGTTGCAGGTAATCAACATATTTGCTACTTTTCGTTAATTTCCGTTCATTTTTTTTACCGCATTTATTTCTGTATTCAATATAAAATTATATTTGGTGTCTTCTAAATAGGAATGGCAAGCAGTGCTTTAGCCAATCCGACAGACGTTTTGAAAGTCAGAATGCAGGCAGCTGCCGGTCCGACATCTAGTCATACAACTATTTTTCAAGCCTTTCGAAAAATTTACAAATTTGAAGGAGTTAAGGGACTTTGGAGGGTAATAATGGATTAGTGCGTCTTTACGATTCAATTTAATTGATTAATAATGGTGCTTAATCTGCTTAATTTTAGGGCGTTGGACCAACCTCGCAGGTTTGAAAATAATGTATATTATAAGCGAGAATGCCAACGAAAATGAAAGGGCCTGTGTAGAAACCACGTGATCGATTTGAGAGGGGGGTAGGGGTCAAGGCATCCTATCCTTCCTATGTTAATTAGAACATGGGGTGTATGGGTCACACCAGGGTGGGAGGGGTCAAATTGCCCGAAGTTGAACATAAACAGATTTTACTGACTCTAATTTAAAAGTTAAAATCCGTTACAGCGAGCAGGAGTCATCGCTGGAGTCGAGCTTCCCGTTTATGACGCAACCAAACGATATTTCATCGATCAAAAAATTCTAGAGGATTCTTTTCCTAATCACCTTGCGTAAGAAAAGAGAAAAACATTCAAAAAGTTTTCTAATTTTTTGCCTAAAATGAAAATTAATTGCTGTAGATCAAGTTTTGTTGCAAGCTTAGCCGCAGCGATTGGAAGTACTCCGTTGGATGTTATACGGGTTTGTTAGAAATTAATATTTTTCGACAAATGGGTAGCAGTTTCAGTTTTTCTTGAATTAATTTTTCTTGCTTATTTCCTTCTGTAGTCATTTTTCGCACTGTTTTTTTTTGTTCCAAATATGCCACTCATTTTAATGTTTAGACTCGAATGATGTCTCAAAAAGTGCATCCCCGTCCCGGTGACAGTTTTGGCCGCTCATGTGCCTTCCCCAACAGTGGGGACAAGGAGATGCTCCGCCCTTCTCATATTTATCGAGGGAGTTGGGACTGTCTCATGGTCACTTTGCGACACGAGGGAGTCACGGCCCTTTATCGGGGCTTCATACCTGCGTGGTTTCGAATGGGACCATGGAATGTGATATTCTTTACGACGTATGAGCAATTACTAAGACTTGACTGAGGGAAAACGATGAAAATGGAAACCAAAAATTAAAATTTAGCCGTTCAAAAATTTATTAGTTTGCTTTACTATTATTAATCTAAATCTAGTCATTCATTACTACGAAAATAGGTGATCCTTTGTTATAATTTCAATATGAGATCTGTTAATTAAGTTACTTCTTAGGAAGAGTAATTAGAATCTTACAATTAGTGGGAGGAGTTTTACTTTAATTTAAATTAAGCGTTATGAAGTAGACTCGTTAAGTACATTTCAAATACTCGACGAATTATTTATTGATTTTTTCACGTAGTAATTTTAACTGCGTTCTTATTAAAATGTAATATTACATTTACAAATGTTGTTATTTCTCGATTCCCTTAAATATTGTTTACATTACATACACAAATTCTAGTCCTCCGTCAAAAATTTTAATTATCTGACACATTTCTGGAAACGTATTTTAAATTCTTGAAACAAAAAACGCACACGACACGCTACAAACTCCAACCAAATATTTTGCATAATCAAATACTTACGGAATAAAGCAATAAATTACTATTACACTTGATAACAATTTTATCAGTGGTGCTTAATTACGTTTCATACGCACTTTTCATACGCATCGCCGTCTCTATGTCTATCGCAAATCCGACCAAACCACCACTGCTACCACCTGTTCAGCGCCAGATTCGTCATCATCACGTAGAAGACAGAACTCGATTGCAGAATTGAAGTGTCATCGCCACAGTCGCAAAAATCTCTGAGCTATCAAGGCTGTTTTTTAATAGAGTGCAAAAATATTCTGCTTGTCATCTTCATATTCATAACGCTTGCAATTTTGTATGGTCATTCTCCAGTGATTGTTGGTTTGTGTGTGGTGTGAGTGAGCGAATGGTTGTTTGCCCAGTCATGGTGTTGAAGTCGTTGGGGTAAGTAATTTCAAGATTTATAATTCTGATTTGAAAAATTAGAATTTTACTTAAATTTTAAATGTTAAGAAAAGGATTCAATAAAATTTACATTTTTGAATAGTTGACTTTTAGTAATTGTCAGTCTTTTGTGGTTTGATAAAAAAAGTAGCAATTAGAAAAGTAATGCAAATTATCAGAAGTTAATTCGCTTAATAAGTCAAGTAAATCTAAATTAGAGAAACTAATGATTGTGCAAATCATTGTTGAACATTTATGAAATGAATTTTTCTTGTGTAACTTCAAAATTCACCAAAGTTAAAATTTTTAACTTAAAAATATCTCGATGAATCAAATTACATATGCAAAATGTAAAGTTTAAAGCTATGTTAATCAATTAATTGATTGCTTATTTGTGTTTAAATGTAGTTTATTAGTTTTAGTCATTCATTACACTACGTTGCATTTCACATATTAAAGTTAATCACGAGTTAATTTTGTAGATCTAAAGAAATACTAATTAACCATTTATGTCTCTCATTATTTATTTTTAGCCTTTAAATTCAACCCCTCGGAGTCACTGAATCTACTCGACTTTGCAGTTTAGTTTATTACCAGAAGCACTCTGAAAACAGTGGCAAAAAACGTACTGTACTCCTTCCGCTCTTGATAAGAGAACGAGAAATAAAAATCGGCCCAGTTTTCATCATCTCCTACTCTGAACTCGGGTAAGTAAAAAGAACATCATTCTCGAGCATCTCACATTTTGTGCGTGCTCCAAATAATCTCGATTCACAAAAAAAGTTTGCGAATTCAAACGAGCAAAAACCATTCGCATGAAACTACAACTGACTTCCTGCTCCAGTTCCAATCTTTTAAGTAAATCATCATCCACCTTTCTGCAATTTCATATGCCTCCCTCTCCACTGTTATGACGATAACCTAATTATCATTATGATTTTGTAGGTTATTTAGTCAACGTTCCATCGCGGAGACATAATAAGGTTAGTTAACGACCTCGATATCCATTCGACTCGAGACTCTCTGGCCCAGACCGACTTTATTAAAAGAAAGAACGGGTGGATGCTTATGCTAGTCATGTCATGGATTTGCATGCTGCACATGTTTTCTCGTTGCAGCGAATAATAATCATCTGTAAATAATAATTATCTTTTCTCACGGGCGAGAGGTGTTGATTGAATTTTGATACGAGTGCCAACAAAACTATTTAAATAGCTAGTAAAGTAAAACTCGTAAAGTCAGTTTAGTTAGAAATTCCAATTTGGAATGCATCTTGTAATTGCGGTAAAAATGTAGATCTAGTAATTTAAATATTTTCGAATTTTTTGCATAATTCTATCTTGCTAATTTCTTAACACAAATTCCGAGAAGGATATGAATATTCCTTTTTCATGCGAAAAAGAGGACAAGGTTTTTCTTTTCAGGTGCATTCTTGTTTAGTTTAGGTCCGTCTCACCTTTCTCAGTTTTTTGTCAGGGTGCCAGATCAATGTCATATTTATTTATTTATGTAGAGAGCGAAAGAATGTTCCGAACGATGTAGGACAAGTTTAATCTGTGACAAGTTTAAAGCCATCTTTCCTGCTGTGCATATCCATCCTTTGCTTCCACCCAAGCATGATTTATGACTTGGTTGACTTTGTCACTATTTGGGACAAGATTATGCATTCGTCGGAAACGATCTAGTTATGAAAGGAGATGAAGTTCACTTTTTTCTCGAGCAGTATGTTACGACATTCTAGGTCATATCTTTGACTGTTTATGTATTCGTCTCGATACGATTTCATATCTTGTGCTCTCATACCGTTTTACAACTCCAACCAGACAACACAACGCATTTGCAAATCTACTACTACGAAGTATGCATTTGTTAACTTACTAATAATAATTATTCATGTTTACTATTCTTCTTTCTTATGTACATTCAATTTGGCGATGGTGTGATCTTATCCATCATTATTATTCTCCTAGCTCAGTCAAGTCCAATAGTAAGCGCTTGACTCGTTTAGTCCTTCTAATGTCCCCGTTGGGCTCGGAACACCATACATACACTCTCTCTCTCAACCTACGTCGTAGTTAGATAATCATACCAAGTTTAGTTTAAATAATTTAGCTAGGAAACAAGAAGAAAAATGTTTACAAAGTGTAACAGTGGTAGTAATCCGTCAACATATTCGACCAGTGGTGGTGGGGTTAATGTGTAAGTGTCGTCAGAGTGAGGTGTCGCGAAAATTTCGGAAATTGATATTGAATTTTGACAAAATTAGTATAAATACGTATATTTTCAGATCATCAAATTCCACGTCTGGTGTTGGGGATAGCACCGCTACTCCCAAGATGGCCGAGGAAATGGACGATGACCAGAGTTCGGACCTTAATGAGAATGATCCGGATGAAGCCATGGACGTGACAGAAGTGGAGAACAATCGTTTCCAAAAGGAGAACCACCTCCTTAAAAATCTCCCCTACTACAAAGAACTCCAAGCAGAGACGGAAGAATATTTGGACAAAATCATTACAAATTTGGTCAATACCATTCTAAGTCAAGATTTCCAGATTGGAGTGACGATTTATACGAAATCACTGAAAACGTGAGTGTACAACAAGTATACTAAAAAATAACATAATGCATATGATAATTTTTTATGACCCAACCCTTTAAAATGTGTATTAATTTTCACTCCCAACCCAATGCTAACTGATTCCTGTTAATTGGATACCTTTTTCTGTTAGACTGTGTTATTGTGCCAATAATTTGGTGTATCAACTAACTGCGTATTAGTCTCTTTCCTTCCTCATGTTTGACTTTGCACTGCATTTCAATAACTTTTTATGCACGTGTTAGTACTTATTTGGAGAACAAGTGACGATTTAAGTAGGTAATGAACATCGGGGAAGAAAAGGAGTGTGTTCCACATCCAGCTTTTTTGTTCTATTGAATTCTTACTTATTATGCATGAGACTTCTGTTCGCGTCCTGTTCCGTTAGTGGAGTACGGCTATTTTTAACTTGATACGTTTTCCAAGAAGTAAAAAGAACTGTAATGTGCTTCTGTAAGATGCAACTGCCGTAATGGATTAATATGAGCTCTCGAAATTGGAAATAATGGAGATGAAAATTTATGATGATTATTTTTGCATAATTAAAATTATTGTGATTAAGAAATAATAATTAGTAAAATTCGTACTTAATTACAGATACATTGTTATGTATGGACGGAAATTCACAAAAGAGCAACACATCAAACTAATAAATCTATATGTCGAGATCATCACATCAAAAGAATGTCCTCTCAACATTGTAAATGATGTTGCAGATGTTTTGAATATACTCCTCCGGTAAAAATTATAACGGAAATATTTTTTTCCGGCCAAGTTTTACGTTATAATAATTAAGTGTACTTCTAATCAAGAAAACCTGAGCTATTAACCCGGGACGACATAACAATCGCATGGCGTCCATTGTATGACACCGTTGATAGATGCATTTTCCACCGAAAGTACACTCTCTCGTACAATGCATCCGCGTAAGACGATAAAAATACTGATAAAAATAATTCTTCAAATTTTCAATACTAACTTTTCTGTAATTAAATTTCCAGGAAACTGGAAGCCCTCTTGAAAGAAACTGTACGACTCTCTAATGTTTACTTCGAACCGGGTACAAAATAATTGCTGTATGCAGAGAAGGACATTTTCTTATTTGTCTTACACGTGGTATTTCGAAACTATTTCAGGCACAGTTACTCAAGTCCTTGCCGAGTTTTCCCCCATGCTCTGCCCTACATCGCCCAAGATGGTTTTCGGCCTAGAAATGTTGAAGCACTTTCTCCCATTTTTGGACGTACAGGCTGAGTCTGAAATTAACGAGTTTATGAAACACTTACTTAGCTACTGCGATGCGTGGAATAATGGACCGACGTGGGAATGGGTGCGTAATAAAGTTTATAACTGTTTATATTTTTTCCGAAACTTCTTTTATTTAAAACTGAGGTTTATATCAAAACGAAATGAATAAATCTTGACTTTCTTACAGACTGTTCTGTCCCTATTTTCAACCGCGGCCTGGAATATGCCCGGCTCTTTCGACTGGACCCCCTATTTGCCCACCATGTACGCCCGAATTATGAAAAATTTAGAGCTTCCAGTTCACTTTAAAGGTAAAAAAACGCGAATTAAGAATTTCTACATAGGTTAATATGTTTATCCAAGTTTATCCAATTTCAATGTGCATTCAATTCTTTAACTGCTTTAAAGGAGCTCGTAACGCTGCAAGAGAAAATAGTTTGAAGCAATTCGACTATGCCTCTGTAGCCAGATGGATGGTTTCCACGTTGGTGAGTAAATAAATAATTACTTGTATAATATAATTTGCATAACTAAATGGTAAATAACTTGTTTAGGGAAATCGCCCCCAAGCTATCCAACATTTATGCACATTTCTCAAAAGTTTGGAAACTTATTACAATCCAACGAATCACGGCAAGTGGACTATGCCACTGGGTGCACTACTAAATGAATTAGTCAGCTCATTTTCACTTCGATTGAAAAAGTGAGCCACAAAACCCATCGAAAATCATTTCTCAATCAGATTAATAAATTTATTAATTATTTGTCATGTTTCAGGGAACGCTATATTGACAACAAGAAACGTTGGTGGTACAGAATTCAGTCCGAAAGAAAATTAACGGACGAAGAGATTGACAAATTTGTTAAGGCTACGTCCTACATCGTGCTTGATTTTTACCTCGACCTCAACATTTGCGGCTTCGTGCTAAAGAATTTGGCCTGTATTCGACCTAACATTATAATTCCGGCCATCCTAGAAAAGTATGTTTACAAATTTTATAAAAACCAATCAATGTATGTACTTGTGCACAATATGTATATCTTTTCTAGGTACGAGGGAATCGTCGAAACTGTTACGGAACCCCGCAAATACATGACCACTCTGCGCTGGGTAACCATTATCCTGCTCCCTCTGATGTCTAGTCGAAAGGAAGTGGAGGGTTACGACGGGCGCAAACTTGTCATCCCATTTGCTCTCTCACTCCTCCCTGCTATAGATCCAAACGACATGTACAAGACGTTGAGTGCGTTGGGATGTTTGCATGGGTTGTTTAATCTTCTCCCATTCGTAGACTGTTCCTCGTTGGCGGAGACTTTAGAGGATGAGGTAATTAATTTTGAAGTAACGAAAAGAAAAGTGCGGATCCAAAATGGCGAGGCTAATGAGTATTTTTTGTTTTGTTTTTAGGATGAAAGAGAACTTTGTTTAGCGTCTGGATGTCTGGAGGATTTCCTGGTTCAATTTCTCGACCGAATCTTAAACCTGATTGATTCCCGACAAGTAGAAAACACTCGGATGGCGGATAACAGGACTATAAATGAAGGAGCAAATGTGGAGGACATTTCGCTCGAGAAATTTATCTGGGCAGTTTTTCACCGAATAGCGACTCAATCTTCGACCAAGATTTGCAAGGTTCAACCATTTCAAATTAATTAAGAGACATTTAATTATAATAATTATAATTTATAGGCTGTGATTAAAAAAGTTGTCTCATTTGCTTTTGCAAATACGTTGGAGACGGCAGTATCTGGGAAATTGTATGCCTCTATTTTACAAGCGTTCGTTGTGGTAAGTTGTAAAACATACGACTTTGGTTCATATGAGTTAATGAGTAATGATATGTGTATTGTTTTAGGCTCGACCGGATATTGCTCTTCCGAAAATATTACCACAGCTCTGTGCCTCAATTAGGTCGCATATATCGGATGAGATTTTAGATGAGGAGGATATCGATAAGACATTGTTGTTTCAATTGCTGCTACTTTCTTATGTAAGCAGCCACATTGTTGTTTTTTGTGTAAAAGTTTTGATTTATAACATAAGTACCATTATTTTCTATAAATTTTCTGCAGATAACAGAAACCGATGGAGTGGAACTACTCAAGTACCGCTCCGATATTGAATCAACGTTTGACACGGTCTTCAAACTGAATGGGAAGAAGGGCTACACCTTCGCTTCACACGCCCTGTCCCGTTTCCTGCAAAGTCTCGTGTATATTTATCCTATTGAGTGTCGTATCTCTCAAGCGGATTATGACGATCCAAACTATTTAGCAATTCGGGTAAGACCTTAATTACTTAATTTAAGGCTACATGAGAAACGTGTGCTAATTGTTTCTTAATTAATTGCAGGACTGGGGCGCTACCGCTGATCCCCGGTTTGTCAAGATGAATTGGCACATGCCCTCAAAACCTGAGTATGATTGGGCAGTGGAGATATTTCTCAAGTATTTCACCACGTACTCTGCCCGACTTGCCAATGTGGCTAGTTTTACGGAGAGCAACGCTGACTTTAACAAAACCTTACTCAAGAATTTGCAAGTCTTGTTAAGCGCATATAATGGGATTAGCACAATGCTCCGATTCTGGGATGACGTCCCAGTCGAGTCGTAAGAGTAGTTTACACTAAATTTACTAAATCAGAATTTTAATGATTATCGGATCGTATTTTTAAATGTAGGGAGGATAGTGTGGCCGACTTATCTCCAGATAAGTACGAATTTGGCTTCAAGAAGCCAGACATTTTCGTCCCCGGAACGGACATGCTCATCTCGAAGAAATGTTATGAAATGTACACGTCCGTGTTTGACTACTTGCAAGCCTATAAAGGAGACGACGTGGATGCTTACATCGCACTGATGAGGGTAAAAAATTTAAAAGATATGACAAAATTAAATATTACCTTCCTCTCACAAATTATTAATTTAACTTATAAACTTGACAGGGTTTTGATTCTCTAATATTTCCCCTTGTCGAATCTGAACGGAGAATGGTCGCCGTGTCGAAATCCTCAGTCTCTCTTAGCCTGCAGAATACTCTTGATCCTAAAAAGAAATATACTCGTGGTGGCCTGATCACTCGGAGTTATGACGTTCACATGAAAAGAATCCGGTACGCTTGTCAAAATAATTAACAAGAAGGACCAAAATAAAATACGTTTTAAGTTTGATTGACACTGTAGTGAATCTCGTAGGTGTGCCGGCTGCACGACCTGGACGAAAAGTCACGTCGCTGTACTCCATTCCCTTTTTAAACTTTGTATCAATCGTAAGAAAACGATAATACGACTTGTTCGTTTGTTGTACTATTTTATTCTATAGATTATTCCTTTATCAATTACTTTCAGACTACGCAAAAGTTCGGGTTAATTCACAAAATAGATTTTTCCGGGTTATTGAGTCATTTGAAGGGTTAATTTCAAGAAGTGTGACCTCATTTTTCGAACCGTACCTTAAAGAGGGCACACATCATGACGAGTATAAGGTAATTTCAAAATTTTGTGACAAAACAAAAAAAAACAATTTGAAATATTTGAATTTCATTAGGGCACTTTGTACACGATGCTGGGTCGGAGTGGGTCTCCACTCTTGCACAACAGTTGGGCTGGCTTGAAACAACTATGGCTCGCTTTGGTGCACAGTCCGTTTTCTGAAAAGAACTCCATAATCAAAATCATGGAAAGGATTAAGAACAGCATAACACAAAATTTTGTGTATTATCCGCTTCAATTACGACTTTCGGTAATATGAATAATTATTTAATCAGTAAAAATAAATTTGATGGAACATGAACAGATTCAATTTCCAATGTAATTATTTAATAGGAAAATGCAAAAATGTTCGACTTGGCAAAATCACTTCTCACCAAGGAACAACTTTCCAGATTGGATTATAAGATTATAAAAACTCCGGAAAATCCAAAGATATTTTTGCAACTGCTAAACGGACTGACAGAAGCCGGAGTCGACGGAAATACGTAAGTATATGAGCTATTTTAACATTTTGTATTGAATAGAATATAATTTTTAATTTACTTAAGTTCTTTACATCTCCCGTAGACATTGGCGACGTCAAGTTATGTGCGCCAACATGTTGAGCGTTTTAATCGTAGATGATCCTGACGTTCCCGTCACGAAAGAAATGATTGAAATATTTTTCGATGGACTTATCTCCCATTCCATAGACATTCGAAGGGTAAGTTAGTACTTTCGCCATTATACATATATGGTTTTAACGTCGTGTTTTACAATAGACCACGACTACAACCTTGTCCTGGTTGCTCGTCTTGTTCAAACGACAATACCCCTCAGTCACGGTGATTACAAAAGATGCCTTGGTACTCAAAGAGGTAAATCAAAATAAATCAGATATGACCTTTTTTTCTTCAAAGAAACTCACCACAATTGAATATTTGTATCCATTTTCCAGGGAGAATCCGTCCACTCCGTCCTCCAATATAAGATAAACCCATTATCTTCATCAACCACACCTACAACTTCCACATGGGTCTTACCTCCTACCAACGGACACCCCGCGACCCCATCTCCATACCCCATTCACATCCACAAAGTTCATTTTGGATACTCTGACCTCCCCAGCACCCTCAAGATAAAACTCCCCACCGAAGACTATTCCAACTTTACCACCCACCAATCCTCTGCCCGTTCCATTTTACTTGAAACGACCCACAGATACCTCAATAATCCAGACTATTTGGCTAAGCTGTTGGAACTGTGGAGCCTGGAGGACAAGACGAAGACGAAATCCAACAAGCGAGCATCCATTTGCAAATCTATTGCTAGAAATAACGGGCCAGACGGGGTGCGGCTCTTGGTCGGACTAGTCCACGCGTTGGGAACTGATACGGATCAGTGGAAGCAGAAATGTGCAGCGGATATTTTATGCGGGATCATGTATGGGATGAAGTTGTGGAATGACGAAGAGACGAATAAATTCTGGGAGGAGGCGTTACGTCCCGTTTTTAATGATTGCTTGAATTCCGTGACTCAAGAGACAATGGACGCGTGGAGTGTGGCTTTGCAGTATCCGACGGTAAGCTGGGCGACGGCGATTTTACGCAAATTATGAGTTTGTGGTGATGATATTATATGTAAACCCGTACAAATTTCGTGCATAACCCCCGGTTTAGACTTCACGTTAGCATCACGTCCTCCTCTAAATCCGATTTTTTGATTGGTCGAAATTTTTAATTGTCTTAGTGATATTTTTGATTAGCCAATCAAAAAATCGGATTGGGAGGAGAACGTGATGCTAACGTGAAGTCTAAACCCGGCGTAACTTACGGGATACTTACGCATAACTTATGTTTACGGATACATTATTATAAAGTTTTACAGTAAATTATTGGTTTCTGTTTGTACATTTTTTTGAGGGTGTTTATTGCTATTTATTTTATAATCTATGGGTTCTGATTCTGTAATCTGCTGTGGATTGGATTAGTCACGCTTTCAATTTGAGTACTTTGCTTATTTCGTTCTCGTACTTGCTCGTCTTCTTACTTTAATCACAAAAATTCTTTCTTTCTATTTTCTACTCTTGAAAATGGGTGGTGCAGATTCCGTTCTGCCAAAATTTGCGCTGCTATCCGGGAAGTATTGCTGATCTATTGCAAGCGTTGATTGGACAAATGGCGATAAGTGACAGCGGATCGGGCAGAAAGGCGAGAAATGTGGTAATGATGAATATAAAATGTTGACTTTCTTGGTGTAATTGGTGTGGTTGGTGTGTTATTGACAGAAAAGGAATTAATTAATTAATTAATTATTGTGCCACGTAAATAAAATTAAACCTACTACTTGCTTGCGGTATTAAATTGTTTTGTATATCTTGACGCTTGTTACTTTTTATTGAAACATTAGAAGTTCACAAAATTTGCTTTTTAGGTATGTGTTGTGCCGAAATATTGGATTATTACATTTACTTTAAACTTGTCGTTAATTTATGTGACTTAACATAATTTGTTGGAAAGATGTTAATTTATAGTTCATTTTCATTTCTAAATTCCAGTTAAATCGGGACCCTAACAAGATGCGATTCTTTATCGAGTTCCTGAGACAAAGGTTGGTTAATAAAATAAATATTTAATTTATTTTCCTTTAATTTCCTTTAATTATAATAAATATTTAAATATTTATTTATTATTCCCGGAAATGACGTGCTCATCTCGAAGAGATGCTATGAAATTTACACGTCCGTGTTTGACTACTTGCAAGCTTATAAGGGGGACGACGTGGATGCAAGATTTTTTAGTTAGTTGTACTATTGTATTCTACTGATTGTGTCATTTGAATTCCCAAAATAGATTTTTTCGGGTGATTGAGTCATTTGAAGGATTAATTTCAAGGAGTGTGACCTCATTTACATTTCCTCTTTCTCGGTGGATGGTCTTCCGACTTTTCCTCCTCATCGTCTTCTTCTTCTTCTCCTTCATGCTTACTCTACAAATAAATGCTCGGTATAGTAAGTACCAATAAATAATTATAGAGGGGCATATACTTTGTAATGGCGGACAATGTTCCTGAAAAACGCAGAGTCGTAGCCACATCCTGTCCAAGGGCATGTATATGGCTTTAGTTTTAGATGGGTGCAAACGTGTTCACTATTACAACAAGAAAAGTATTAAAATAATATTTCATATGACAATCAAATGGACTTACCGAGAACCGATTGACCCAGCAACCACATGTCCGCATTTTTGTCCATTTTCCAGGACCCAGATACATCTGTATTGGGTTTTTGTTGCACCTTCTTCCAATGGGATACGCTCGAGTTGGGCATCACATTTTCGTGCGACCTCATCACTCATATCACGAATTCCAAACGCACTCCGTTGTTGTGGTTCTGCTCCTACGTGGTATCGGGAACGGTGTTGTTTCATGTTCGCTTCTTTTGCAAAAGTGCAAGGACAAATATCACAGGCTAGTGCATTGGGACCAGTGTAATGGCTCATCTAGGCAAATTAATATCAACCACATTATTAGCGATAGGTATTGTTGAATAATAACAACATTAAATATATACATTTATATGTTCCGCAAGAGTTTGACGTTGTCTACTTATAAACACACCACACAAATCACAGATTAGTTTCTTTTGTAGTGGTGGGGGTAGACGAGCGTTTTCTAGTTTATCTGGAGGGGGAGGAGGAGGGTTGTGGAAGTAATCCTCCCTTATTTGAGGAAGTCTGGGAAGAAATTGTCTCAAATGAGCATAAATTTTCTCCTTGTGTTCGGCTAACACTACTTCTGCAGAATACGGTGCTTTGGCACAAACGACGCCGAACTTTCTCCGGATCATGGATTTCAATTGGTCAACGACCCAGTCATCATCAGTATATATATGGAAGGAGTACGTCATCTCAGGGTTCACTTTCCAGCCCCATTGTTCCTCCAGTTCTCTGTAAATTGCTCATTTTGTAATTTGATTTGTACAATGGCATTTTATAATGCGAACCCTTTGTCACTTACTTAGCTTTACAACCATCAAGGTTTAACGGGTCGGTATTAAACTTTTCGACGACCGCTTCCGTCATCGACACAAAACAGTGACCTTCAGCTCCTTTGTTTACCGTCATGTCACGCACATCCCCATGTCGGTCAGTCAGAAGAGCAAAGTATATGTGCTTAAGTTTCTCTAAATAATACAAATAAATCAGGTTTGGTTCACAATTTAATTAAGGCTAGATTTCAAATAATTAAAAGTACTTTTAATGTCAAATTCTGTCAAAACATTAAATTTAATGTTGTCGTTGTCGTCCCTCCAGAAAAAAAGATTGGCCCCAACCTTGGGAACCTTACGGAGTAACTCACTGTTACTTATCATTATAAAATGATGCGTAAAAAAAATATAAAATAGTTATCCAACTAACAATAAAGAGATGAAAGTTCTAAGGGTCTCCCGCTTAAAGTGCAATCTGACACATTCTCAATATCTCACAAGACCGATCACAGTCTAAATAAAAAATTGCCCAACTTGACAATCAAATTTAATCCTTGCTCAGATTCATCAAAAGTTTGGAGACCGCTCAGACTACGTCGGTTGATGCGTTCAAGTGAGTTAATAATATAACTAAATAAGTAGTTAATATTTTGTTAATTGCACTCACTCATTTATTTATTCTTGATTACAGAGAGATGACATTTTTCGACCAAGTCATCACAAATTTGCAATGGCGTGGAGGTGATTTGTACGTTCAAACGCTAGATCTCGTCAAGAAGCACTTTTTCGACTCGCCCATTCCATATATGAGTGTGAGAACGCAGTTGGGGCGGTGAGTGACATATAAACATAACAAAGTCTTGAAAGTTCTAAGGAAACTTTTTTTTTCGAGTAGAGTGCTGAGCACATTTTTCGAATGGGATGTTGAATCTCCAGTTCCATTTAATTCAGAGTTGTGCCCAAGGTACGACACCTTCGTGGACTTTATCTTTGATCGTTTGAGCTCCTTGGAGGAGGAGGCTGCAAAGTATCAAGCAAATGAGAAAGACTCTGAAGAAAATGCTGAAATTAGGAAATTGTTGCTCAAATTTAAGACCGGTGAGTATTAATTAGAAAATATTTTGAAATTTTAAAAGTAATTTGCTTCAATTCACTTATTTTTCACAGCAATGGAATTCATCGTGTCTGCCACTTGGGACAACGAATCTTCTGTGCATCCTTCCTTCTTCCGATTTATTCCGTTATTTTGTCAATTTGAGAGCTACGATCCAGATCCAGAAGTTAGTACTTTGGCCTGTTCTGCTTTAGCCGGGTTGGCGAGAACGTTAATCAATCCGAAGCATATGGATACACTTTTCATCTACTTGAATCAGGTACGATCTCAATAGAGTTTCAAAATTGTCGACACAAAATCATTATTATTTTGGTTTGCAGGCCTCTCTGTCCCCCTCGTGGCGAGCACGTCTTTGTGTTCTCGAATTTCTAAAAGTGTTCGCCTTAAATAACACGAGCGTGTTCACTACAAGTCTAACGTGGTCTCATCAAGTCGTCGACTTAGTATTGAGACTCTTATCTGATAGGAAGTTGGAAGTGAGGGAACTCAGCTCGAAAATCATTTGTGGATTTTTGCACTGTCTCCTTGTCCCAGAGCCGATGGAACTTTTGGTAACAAGATAAATAAATCGAATAAATAAATTCGAAAATTAATAATTCTTACAGTAAAAATGTTAAATTCTTGCTCAGAAATCCTTTCAAAAAACGACTCAAACATTTAAAAGAAATCGACAAAGGGCAAAAGATGGGAAACGAGCCGCACTTATTCCCGAAGAGATTGATACGGCCCACTCTGCAATTTTGGGACTTTGTGCATTTGTTGATACCCATCCTTATCACGTTCCTGCCTTTTTACCTGATATTCTTGTCGTACTGACGACACATTTACATGATCCGCAACCAATTCCGGTAAATATTTTAGACAACAAAATCTGTTTTGCTTGTTTCACTTAAAAAAATTTTCTAATTCTTAGGCCACCATCCGCAAATGCCTTTCCGACTTCCGAAGAACCCACCACGACAATTGGGCCATTCACAAGACAAAGTTCACCGAAGATCAGCTATGTATTCTCACCGATATATTCGTGTCTCCATGTTACTACGCGTAGGTAGGGTTGAGATGAGAGTTTAAGCTGTTTGTAGATAACTCAGTACTAGACCAAGTTATTGACAATGTCCCTAATTATTTTATTGTAATATGTATGTTAATTTGACACATTACATGATTGATTGATTAATTAATTTTAGCAACCCAAGATTATCTTTTTATATGCAAAAGTACTACGTGATTAATATTATTTTCGTAATTTATCATCAGGTAGATCCCTCACTAGAGTAGATTATTTAAATGTTAATTAATAATACATTAGCCCTCAGTAAATGTTTTTTGTATTGTCAAATGTTGTGCAATTTTTTGTCAAGGTAAATATGTTAATCCTCACAAGTTAGTAACGTTACAGGATTAATTGCTTGTCATGTCGAACCAAGTGTAACCATCTTGAGGATTTATTAATACGTAAAAATCTAATCTTTGTCAATCCCAGTTAATCAGACTTGCTAGTTTCTGGCTCGGCGAACCGGTGCGCTCACTTACTTAACTTAGGTGTGGTGGTTCGGCGCACCAGAAATTAGCAAGTCTGCAGTTAATCCCGTCTAATCAATTTATGACTGGTTATTTTATTTATTCGGTTTAAAAGTCAATCTTATGAAATCATCAAGTATCAATTAATTTATTAAACAGTTTAAAAACTTGTGTAAGCATACTGTAATGCAAATTTTGTTACTATTTATTTTTATGAGAAACTATATCATTCAAATATTTACATAAATACATTTTCTATTGCTTAATCATCTTCTGGTTCCCTGTCAACTGCCCTACTTCCCAACAATCTCGCATTATTAGGAATATTTTCTGGAAGGAGGCGAACATTTAAATTCTTGGAAACTACGGCGAAATTACATTTATCCATGTTGAGAAGATCCACTTCGTACAAAGGCCCCAGCACGCGTTCCCAAAATCTGTGGGATTCTATCTGATTGAACCTAGTAGAAAATTAGGGATAATTAGGACACGAATTTCATAATAAATATTTCATAAACTATTAGATTTTCTGATCCAAATTTCAAAATAATAGAAAATTTCCGACCTAAACCTTCACTTCCAAATTATCTATACCGATTTAGCAACCACCAGATTCTTAAATTTAACACGAAACATACGTTGTATTTGCACTTTAAGAAAATGCAACCCACCATCTTATCCGAATATCAGGGCTCGTCCACAAATCTACTAATGCGTTTCCAAATCGATGAAACATTCTGTAGCTGTAGCCTTCTTCAAAGTAGGAGAAACAAGCATTTTGCACAAACTCGACTACTTTCCACAAAATTTCCAATAATGGATCTTTCTCCCGAATGTTAAACTGGTTGCTCCTTTTGACACACAAATACTGAGGACATTTGTTCCGAGCAATTATCTAAATAAAATGGGAGGAAATTACGTATCAATTTCAATTTTGACATTAAAAATTCAAAAATCCTTGTTAAAATCAGTATGAATTGACGGACCAACAAATTACTCAAAATCAGTACCGTAATTTATTCACTTACCAGTTCGTCGGTCAGTGCGATACCGAAAACTTGTCGAATTAACCAAGCATTCATGCAATAATCTGTTAATCCACTTGTAATCTGGTGCTGACACGAGTTCCGTCCTCTTCTGAGACGTGACAAAGTCCAAATAATGGAAATATCGAAACGCACTCACAATAAGGTCAGGATTTACTTTGGGACATAATTTGATATAAATTGCGCTTGACAGGGATAATAATTTAAAAGCACGATGCGGGTGGTGCGCGTAAACGCTGGGAAGGTGATCTCCGTTCAGGTTGAAATCAACGACAATATTTTTAAGGAGTTTGTTCTGAAATCTGATTTTTGATAGGGTTTGGAAATTTGCTTTGGGGAAGAATATGGTAGAATTCCTGGTGTCATTTTTTGATTTGGGATTTACAGTGACCAGAGTTGCGTTGCAGAGAGAGTAGAATGATTTCATGACGGCGTCTGAAATGCAATTCAAATTTGGAATGGTTAGAGGAAAGCATTTGAAACTGTGTTGGAAAATCAGAGAAATTTTGTACGGAATAATTATCGTGGATGCATGTGTATTGCAGAAATTTGGTATGTTGCAAAATTAATTTGTTGGTCTGCAACAAATTAAATATGTAAATATTACACCAAATTGCATTTCTCTGGAAGTACATACACAGGTAAATATTTGAGTTGAGAAACTTCGAAAAAGTTGATAAATTGTTTATGCAATGTTTCGGAATGTACCATTTGCAAAAACGATATAATTTGCAGAAAGTAGAATATTACGATTTTCTCTTTCAAGGTTTTCAGCATACCAGGCAATTATGTATTTGCAATGGTTTAGAATTGCATGCCAAATCGATTTTCTTGTTTCAAATCATGTTTTCTTAAGACCATCAATTTTGCGGAGAAACCTGCCAAACGTGTCACACTTACGTCTCGGACAGATCTGTATGGCCAAAATATCCGGGACGGAGGCTTTCCTTATTTTGTAAAAGAATTTCAATCTTCTCAAACAATTTTCCGACATGATTCCCACCTCGCCCAAGTGTTGCATCGTCTTTCCGCAAACGGGATCAATTTCATCATGAGTGTGAAATTCGATAAGGTGAGCATCATTCACGGTGGAGCCGTCCTCCCACTTCAGAATATCGCCACGACCTCCCCTTCGCCATGAAGAGGCGGTATTCCAAGCCTCAAAGGGGTTCTTGGGGTCGGTGGATTCTGGGAATTAATTATTTAATTGATTGATCGTGTAATCGGCCAAAGATAAAAATTACTGCATTGATCAATTAAATTATGCAATTTATACATAGGTTTACAAATCTATTCAGAAATACTAATGTGTACACGTGTGAAATTGAATCAATCAAAGTATTTATTGATGTAACTGATATTTAATCAATATAATCAATAATATTGATCAAAATTGATTAAATTTCTGATTTCATTGATAAATCAGTGTAAATTGACTTTTACATTTATTTAGTGAAATTTAATTAACTAATTTTCATTTAATAGTTGTAAAATTCTCGATATCTATGAGTACTGCTCTTAAGTATATCTGTGGTGCCTCGTCGACCGCTTTGGATCATCCATAAAAAGGTCTAACACATAGCGCGTCTCAAAAAGAAATTCAAACTTTGCCAGAATTTAGAAAATATTAATAGAAAACTATTTTTCCTATAAAATTTTTCGATATCTGACCTCTGTGACTTGTTATTAAGGGGTTAAACTCATTAATTTGAAATACGTTTGTTTGTCTGCGTGCACGATAAGTTGATAACAATTTTAGTCGAATTTAACGAGAGATTGGGTTTGATGGGCTGGGAATTGAAAGTTGACAATGCGTACAATATTTCTGACAATTTTTTAAAATTTTAACAGAACAAACAATGCAGCAAACAAGGGATTTCGGTGGAACTAGATTTCGGGCTGGCGGAGGAAACAAGGCGATTCGGTTGGGAGCGCGCAGTGCTAAATATTATTTGACACCACTTTATTTTTATTTTGACGTGCAACTTATACAAATTCGTGTCTGAAATTTAGGAAATTGAATAAGTTGTACGTCAAAATAAAAATAAAGTGGTGTCAAATAATATTTAGTGTAGCACTGCGCGCTCCCAACCGAATCGCCTTGTTTCCTCCGCCAGCCCGAAATCTAGTTCCACCGAAATCCCTACTTTTCTGAATTGTTTGTTCTGTTAAAACTTCAAAAAAATGGCAGAAATATTTACACAATGTCAACTTTAAATTCCCAGCAGATTAAACCCGATCTCTCGCTAAATTCGATTACAATCCTTATCCACTTATTGTGCACGCAGACAAACAAACGTATTTCAAATTAATGAGTTTAACCCCTTAATAACAAGTCACAGAGGTCAGATATCGAAAAATTTTATAGGAAAAATAGTTTTCTATTAATATTTTCTAAATTCTGGCAAAGTTTGAATTTCTTTTTGAGACGCGCTATGTGTTAGACCTTTTTATGGATGATCCAAAGCGGTCGACGAGGCACCACAGATATACTTAATGACAGTAAAGTTTCAATTTCGAAATTTGTTACCTTCAGGAATGTATTCATTGAAAAATTCAATGTCCTCCTCGTCCTGATATGAGGCTGGAGTGAAATTGTTTTTCTTCAAACAATTCATGGCACCCACCCACGTTAACTGATTAAAAAGGTAAATATTTAACATGTACCTAGGTAGATCAAATTTTAAATGCTAACGGAAAAAATTAATGAGTACTTACATCCGTATCGCTTTTATAATACGTCGCGAGAGGCGTATCCAGGATCTGTTGGTATTTTACAAACTTGCATAAATCAGCGTCTTCATCAACATCATCTTCCGGATTCATGACGCGCAGTCCTATCGCAAATGATATCCAGGAAAGTGTCAATGTATATTTTTTAGTTCGCGACATATTTGCATATTACAAATTCAGAAAGTTTTCACATTATTCATTGGTAAAGATTTTTCGATGTGTTTTGGAGGATATATCTTCATATTTTTAAAACGAAGGTATCGCGTATGATTACGTACGTAGCTAAATCAATTAGCAATTAAAACCTAATTCGATTATTTCCTGGTTGACGATATCACAATAATATGTAATTAATAATTTACCTTTGTATGGGCAATGATACTGTTCGTTTGGTGGGCAAGGGGGGTTAACATCACAGAGATAATTCATCTTGTCATCGCAGTAGAGATCATTTGCATAGAAAATTTCTTCTTTATCGGATGGCATCCCTGTTTATTGTTATCAATTTTTATTGTTTATTGTTTATAAGTTTATAATTTATTGTTTATTGATCACTTAAAATAAAATTGTCCGCAATCTTCGTTTAGCCTGCATGTTAATTATAGGTTAATTATTATATTATAGAGTTTTAGATCATATGATTATTCTGCGTGCCCACCCATAATTATCCGGATTGGCGTCCCTCCATTTCGACGCGTTCGTTTCGCCACGACCACACACCCAGCGAAAGTCGCGGTCAGAACAAAAGTCGTTTAGACTGGTCCACATGTAGAGTCGGTCGACATCTTTGTACATGGCTTCGTGAAAAGTAAGAAATGAAAAAAGGTTAAAAATTTAAAGCATATGAAGAACAAAATCCTAATATTCATTGAAATTGAGTTATTTTTAATTGAGGAAGTAGTACAGGAGTGTAGAAATTTTTGAATATTATCAATAGTTCTGAATATTCTTAATTTAAGAATTTTGAAAAAATATACCTTGCTGAAACATAGTTTTTAGTCCATTAAATTATAATCTTGGAACGTATTTCTTAAGTCGGCAAACTTTTGAGATATCAAAATCATCAAACAAAACTCAAAATTTCATAAGATTACATGCTATTTTACTGTTTTCGAGATCGTCTACAAGTGAATCGCTTACTTAGATATTTTGAGACTTTATATCATAAACATGACTGTCAAGTGTCCATTAAGAAAATCAATCATAATTTTATTTAAAAAATTTAATAATTTGTGAATTCATCTTAGGATTAGAATTACCAATAAGATCTCTGCGGACTGCATCTCCATCAGAATTTAATAAGTTCCCCGCAAGCGACCATCCTCTCTGTTGACAGCAGAAATTTGCAACTCGCCATCTCATCTGCCAATAAATTTTTTGCATTAACTATACATATGAAATCATTTATATGCAAATTATGCATGCATATTACATGTGTGCATGTATTCACATACTGGAATTGTACTCCATTGAAATCCACCAATACTTTTAAATAATTTGTTCCTTTTACATAGTTGCATTTCTAAAATTTAGGAAAAGATTTATCAATCACATTAATTTCTGTATTAAGAAAATTCTCAAAATAATCCTTAATACCTGCCGGGGTTACATCCCTCCCACCGATTTGTTGCTGTACTGAAATGCAATTTTTTTTACACTTTCACTTTATCATAAAAAATAAGAAAACTTGAAACTTTCACATGGAACAAAGGTTTAAAGGCTTTGACACTCACGTTGACAAATGAATTTTCTTTCTTCATTGCAATCTCCCTTGATTAGTTTGACCCCCTTGTTCTCCGGCCAGATGGACATATGGCCACACAATCGCCTTCCTCGTCATCCTGACCTTCCGCCCAGGCGTGAACTTCTAATTTAACGCCATCCTTATCTTTCGTAGGAATCTCGAGACTTGTCCCAAATTCCCAAGTAAAAGTAGGTTCAGATCGAAAATTGTTGCCAGAAACCCAGTATTCTGCTAAATGTAAATCCGTCAAACAAATAAATTATTATGAAATTTTGTTAAAGCTTTTTTTGCTTAATTTCGTGAATGTATATAGTATTCATAATTCGTGGTGTAATGAGTTGCAAAAGCTTAAAAAAATATATTTTCACTCACCCAGCGGGTTTTCAATTAAAATTTCATAAAGATACGTTTTCTCAAATCCTTTCTCCGGCGTGTGGAGAAACATTCCTTTCTTTTTGCAACATGCATCAGCACTTCTCCATTTCAACTTAAAATTTTAAGGTTTTGGTTTTTGTAAAAATTTCAAAAATACGCAATTTTATTTGTTTTTCACTTACCGGCGTGAGGGATTGGCGTCTAAATTCGGTAATCTTCTTAAAATGAAGTGATCCACATTTTGCTTCTTCTGAATTTGTATGCAAAAGGAACGATATTCTATTAGCAAATATTTATTGCGATTTTGTTTTGCGAATTCAATACCTTCCTCATTATCAAATTGATACTTGTAAGCTGCCCAAGCACTATTTCGCGTCCCATAAAAACTTAATAAAATAAACAACAAAAGTAATGATATTTTACTATGCAAATAATTAAATATTCTACATTCTAAAATATAGATTGACATAATATCCTCGCCTAAAAATGTTTCAAAATTACTAGCTTTTTATTTCTTTGCATTTACTACTACTAAAAAATATTATTATTGAAATGCTACATGTGCATCTAACAATGAGTTTTATTACATGTTATGAACAAATAAATGAAAGTGTCGCACAAATTATGTTACGCATTGTTATAATTTGTTTTAGTTACAATATAAACAATTTTGTAACACAATTTAGCACAATTGATAAAAAATATAATTTTAGATTATAATTCTAGCAGTTATATTTTAATGAATAATTGACTTACGATATACCTAAAAAATCAGCAACAAAAACTCAAAGGATTACCTCGTCCTAACTGCAAATTTTTGTAGCAATAACTTTATTGCAATTTTACCGAATCAATTTAAGTAGATAATTCATTAGTTTATTACTTATATCACTCAATTACAACGCTAAATACACGAAAGAGACGCAAGTTCACTGTGTCCATCAGTTGCATTTGGCAAAAGATGAATCAAACATTAATGAGATTATAAGATGATAGGATTTGTTGCTGAAAAAGTTTCCACACTTATGAAAGATCACACTTGACAACTTCTTTGTTTTTCTGTCCGAACAAAGGTCAACCAGTGTTTCGGAGGTGCATGAAATCTCGTTAACCACAATTTCGCAAGGTGATACATTTTTGCAGGGATTAAATCACAAAAGTATAAGTTTTAATTTGTCATATTTTTGTGATTTGATGCAAAAAATCAAAATGCAAACTTTAATTAGGCATTCGATATTTAAAAATAGTTTTCTAATATTATGATATGTCCAAACTATACGTTAAGTTTACGTAGAATTTTTTATCATAAAAACTTAATGAGACCTGCAACTAAATCGAAACTAAGTAAACAACCGAATCTAATCAAAATTTATAAAGACTTAAAACCCGAATTTTTAGCCTAAACTATAAACTTGTACGAAAATTATTCTTTTTACACAACTCGTTTTACAAAAAAATATAACGATTTCACTTTCCATTATGCAAATGCAAAATACATTCGTACAGAATACGCACAACTTTTTGTACTGAATAGAATTCTTGCATGCCTAAACAGCTCAAAATAGTACATTTCATTCATCTCCATCCATGGAACACTGCTCCTCCTGCAAACCCACGCCACTCGACTCAGCTTTCACCTCGCTTTCCTTTGTTGCTTGGATATTTGATTTATAAATCCTTCACGTACTTGTATGCTGGCCTTCATGTGCAAACAAAACAACAGCTCATGGATGGATTATGGATTCGTATTACATAACAAAATATCCACATTTAGAAGTTATTATTACGTAATAAATAAGTGCATTCAGTTATGTAACAGGAAAGGTAACAAAATGAAATGTCATTTCCCGTGGTCGAAATCAAAATAAAATCTAATCAAAATTGAGTCAGTCAAACTGTATGCAAAGAATTATATTAAAAACTAGTTGGAGAAATGCCGACTACTTTATGAAAATGGGGGGTCTGTCTGATTTTGGTTTTAAGTGGTTTAAATATTTTGAGGTAATTGTAGTCAGAAAGTTGTGTAAGTTGGAAGCCGGAAATTTTATTATTTAAAAATAAGACGCATAAAAATGTTATTAGTTTGGGAAACTAAATTCAGAAATTGTGTTGTTGCATGAAAAAGTACATTGCATGAAAAATGAGGTGGGTCTTGTATTGCAAAGAAAAAGACAAATGTGCATACTTTCCAGTTGAAAAGTGAATTGACACCTTTCGCTTTTTTACTTAAAAATGTCGGAGTTGGGTGAATGCTTTCCGATTCTTTCGTATTATGCAACTTGTTTATTGCGACAGTTCTCTGGCTGACATTGGTATTTGCATACAACATATTTTTATTTTATTGTTGGATGTATGTACACAGCTTGCACAAAAAGTTGTGCATCTTGAAGACATTAATATGTAAGTTGAGCGAGGTTCAAGTCGCTCGTAAATCCCTGCGGGCGAGACAAAGTTAAAAATTTTCCAGAGGTTTGCCCGACATTTCGGGGAGAAGCCAAGTCATTCCTGTAGACGCTATTATGATAGCGGTAAAAATTACGTGAGGAAACATTGGCCATACTGCAAAAATAAATGCAAATATATAACATTTTATAATTTTTTTTACGAAAATTTGGTCGATAATTTTGAAAGTTTTTTTTACTCGAATTTTTTCTATCTATATAACTTAATCCTCAAAATTTATACATTTCCTTGTAGAAATTGTAAATCGGAATTTTATGAATTTTATTAGTTTGTTGAAATTTGAACTGAAATTTTCTATGATTTTTTCGAAACGCATAAGTTTGTCAATTTGAATGCATGATATTTACAAAAAAATCTACATTTTCTTTTAAAACAAAGTCCATATTTTCTGGTTATTTACCCGTTCCCACAAATGCGATCTGCGGTGCCAGGACGCCCCCCGTATTCGCCATTAGGCAACAAATCCCTAACGCCGTTGACCTCACGACCGTTGGGAAGGATTCCTGACAAAAACAAACGACCACCCCCCAAGCCCCAGCGACTCCAAATCGGGCCAAAAAGCTTAATATGGTCACATAAATTTCTGCTAGTTCCCCGCTAAAGTAAATTTCCAATCCGATCAGGACGCACAACGTGATGGACGCCATGCTCAAAAAGAGCGCCGTTACTCTCCTCCTACCTAACGCGTTCGAAAATACGGATCCCGCAGGAAATGCAATCATGTCGATGAGACCCATGTAGCCCATGTTGAGATAAGGGTTTCCTGAAATATTTTTTGCATTTGTTTTGCATTGAAAGTTTGAATGAAAGAGAGTCATTCACCGCCTAACCTGAAAGATTTTTTGCGTTAAAAGTTATGCCATAATAGGAAAATGCCACGGAGAAGAAGAGGGCGATAAATATGGCAAGTCTGCATCGGAAATTGGACCAGAGGAGGGTCAAGGAGTGGGAGGTTCGACCCGAACTTCCGGAATTTTCCTCCTCAGTAGTGATTACTTTTTGGAGGGAAGCAATTGTTGCGGGCGATGGAGGTGGGGTTCCGTTCCAGGATGAAATTTGGGAAAACACGGAGGTCGCTTGGGACGTTTGGGTGTGACATAGAAGCCACCGGGGGGTTTCTGGAAGCCAACTAGAGAGAGAATTTGTGTGCATGAAGTTTTGGTTTTACGAGTGGTTGAATTCCTATTTTTAATTTTCGAAGATTGTAAAATTCATAAATGAGAGGCATTTTTAAATGGATAATTTGGCTTGAAATTCATTCAGGTCTTAAAGAATGAACATTTGGGCATTACATTAAAATTCACGCAGAATTTCTACTAATTTTCTTACGGAAATGTCATCAATCCTAGAAACGCTGGTAGTGCTGCCGCCAACGAAAGTAGACGCCATGATGGAATTAGATACGCACAAAATGCTAACGCCATCTCTCCCGCGAACCAGAACGATATACTTCCACAGATAACGCGCCACCCAGGAGTTAAAAATTCCATGAGATAAATGCTGTAAATGCAGTAGAATCCTAAGTATCAGAAGACAACTGTTTATATAACGCCATAATTTCGACAATGGTGTCGCCACGACCTTTCACTTGACCTTGACCTACCTCCAACCCCCACTCCAGCAAAAAATCTTAGTACCGCATATACCCACGGATTGGGTGCAAGTGCACTCAAAATTCCAAAAGTTGACATGGTCAAAATTAACAGAAAGTGAATCTTCCTTCTCCCATAGCTAAAGTTATTACCAAATTATATTACTTTTACATATCAACTTTATTATTACTGCGTATTTGTACTCATATGTATATACCGATCTGCCAGCTGCGATCCACAAATTGCCCCCGACATCATACCCATCATGAAACAACTCGTAAACATTTCTGGAACCCAGGCCGAACTTCCGCGCAAATTCCACTAAAATAAAATAAATAAACAATGGTTTTAAGAGTTGATCATCGTCACGACCATTCCTTGGTCCAATTTGAACTAGACAGATAAGGGCAAGAGTGGAAGTAGAGTGTACACTTGTCCGGAACTGGAGAGGTTTCGGCCGATTGTCAGCTTCAACGTGGGTGTTGGTGATGCATGCACTTGTGTAACTCGTCTGAAGATGTAGGAGTAATTTTACTGATGTCAGAGGTGGAATTAGATGAGAATAGCTTTTTATGTTGAAAGTGACATGTCTGGACATTTAAAAAACACACGTGACATTTAAAAAAATGTTTTTTTAGAGAATTCAGTTTTCAGATTTCAGTTTCATTTCGAATTACGACTAATTACGGGAGATTTTCATTTCAGAAAAGGAATGGGTTTGAAGTGATGTAAGTTAAATTTCAAGAGGATTTTCTAACTAAATTACAAAATTTACGTTATTGTGGGTTGGATTTGGAAATATGGATTTGTTTTTCAGATTAGGAGTGATATTTTGTATTAGTATTGTTGAAAGTTGTGTATTCTGCCTTTGACGTACGTGTCTGATCCCCAAGTACATATTGCGTACTCACTCACCTCTTGAATCACAGATCCGGCTTGAAACCCCACAAAATAATTCTCATCTTCTCCACTTTCCGACGACGAACTATTCCCAATTATTCCACCAATTAGGGCTTCTTCATTTGCATGATTCGCCCCCACAAACACGGGCAACATTGCGATCATTGCAGCCGGAACCTCCGGACTCAATATTGCGAAACTTGCCCATAATTGGAAAGTCGAGAATCCACCTGCGTGGGTAAATTCGATATAAATTAAGAATAGCAATACGTTGCGCAAGCAAGGAGCACGATTATTGTGAAAATTACGTATTTGTAAAATCTGAGAAAATTCTTGAAAGTTGAATCGTTTTCGTTATCTTTAAATTCTTTACTAAATATACAGTAGGCAAAATAATCGAAAGGGTATGAACAACTACCGTACAAGTTGCTTATTTTTCACTTATGCAAAAGCTGTAAATGTTTGATATTGCATATCAATTTTACAACAAATTCTATGTAGATTTCGAAAATCATAGACATTTTTCTTAGAAATTTCGAATTTGTAAGTAAGTTTCGCGAGGCGCAAACATTGCACAAAAGAATTAAAGGAGTAGTTGTGCATTTTCGAATAAAATAGATTTGAGAATTTTCCAGTTAACAATTAAATCTTTTTAGCCATATGTAGAAGTCATTCTTAATAGTTTTTGATCATTTAAGTTAGTTCAGATTTTTTTCGACGAGTCAGAAATTCGAAATTTGTAAGAAAAATGTCTATGATTTTCGAAATCTATATGAAATTTACTCCAAAATTGATATGTTGCATTATCAAACAATGCAACATATAATTTTTTATATCTGCAAACATTTGCAGCTATAAACAACTTATAGGTTTACTACTCCTTGAATTACAGATATTTTGCTTACTGTACTAAAGAAAAGTACGACGCAATTGGGTGTAAATTCTAGTAAGAGATTTTCTTACCCAAGGAGAGAAGAAGGCTTTCTATGTTTTCATGCCCATCTGGCATAAGTATGGATGCTCGTAGCATTTTCGGTTAAAGTTGAACTTTTGAAAAGGCTTCAAAATTTCTCAAAGTAAATTTTAAAATGTAACTTGTTTGATGTTTTGGGATAGGTGTGAAATGAAAAATGTTAAAAATCGGGTCTAAAAAACCTTACAATATAAAAACAATAATTTATAAAATAACTATAAAATATCTCAAATCTAATGTAGAAAGCCAAAAGAAGTATAAAAGTTTAGTTCACTTATTCAAGTCATACTATCCTGAAGTATAAATTCAAAAAAAAATTAAAATTAAATTATTAATTTTACATCGGAAGCTAAATTTCTACGCCGATTACTTAAATCATAGAAAATATGATCGTGCAAAATAATATTAGGTAATGATACCACTTTCTTAAAAGTGCACAACGATTCAAAAGTCTAAAAATTCCGATAAATAATTTTCTTTATGAAAAATCTATAGAATAATTTAAAAAATTCCAAAATGTCAATATCTTTCAATAACTTGTACCACATCCAAAACTCAAACTACTTTATCCTTTCAAAACATTAATGTGTACTCATTCCCTTGACGTTTACACACCTCTTAAAATACATCACAATTCCCATTCAATCCAATTTCTTTCTCATTGTCAAGTCAAGTCATGCCCAAAAAATAGATTTATTTAAAAGCATGCCAAATTATCATAATTTTTCTTCTATTTATCAGTTCATTATCATTGTCAAGATTGAGTCGCAATATGATTTATTTCTTTGCCCCTTTTCCCTTTATTTCCTCGATACACATTCCTAATTCGCACATTATTTCGCAATTATTACATTGTAAATCATAAAGCGAGCTAAACTCGCATCAAGTGGCGTCAATCAATCTAAATAATAAATCTTCCACGATTCGTGGAGACGAATGCGTAACAAACAATTAAGCGGAGCTATAAATGATTCCATTTCATTGCATGTTATTTATCCTCCACTGCGATGCTCGTCGACGGGTAATCCTCGATCTCCTCTCGAAAGGATTGCGACTTGCTTCATCTATAATTCGTTTACATAATGCCACACACGCAGATATATTGTTTGTATGTAGTGCACAAATGAGATAGAGTCGTAAAAACATCAACAGCATCTTGTATAATTTAGAGGTACGGGTGAATGAAAATGCTCGGATTTTGATGGGGTTTCGGATCGAATTTGTGTGTGAAATTGTGAGGTGCTTTTATTTTTGGTATTTCGTAGATCTCGTGTGAATCTCACAATTTCTAAATTTTCAACATAATTTTAATTATAAATACCGAGTAATTAAAAAAATGTATTTCGTGAATTTTTGTATACAAACATATTTCATGTAATTCGTGCACTTTGAGACATTCCAATGTTTTTACGTAATATTTTTCTTAGCCTCATTTTGTGTAACAATTCTAAAAATTTGTGAGTTTCACACATCTCTTCAAATTTTCTTTTAAACTTTAACCATGATTTCCGAAATTACATCACCATCTCGGAACCCTGTCCTTATTTAATGAAAACCTTAAGATTTTAACTTATTCATCTCACACTGATTCTAATTCTGCTAATTCTTCCCATTTTATCTCTCACCCTGTCGCTCTAAACCATCTCACAGCCCCTCGTGGGAATCATTACACAATCTTCTCCACGAAAACTCGTGCCCCGAGATAACAAATAGAAGAGTGATATAAGTAAAGTAATACAGAGGCGAATGAATAAGAAGCATTTAAAATTCCACGCACCACACCAGCACCGCCATCACCGCCATCATATGTAATGAACTCTTTCATCTTAACGGTCTCAGATAAGATGTAACATAACAAAAGTCAGTACAGGGGCTGATGGGTTCACTGACTGAATGGGATCCAGTTAATTGAAAGAATCTTGCAAGAGTTCCAGTTAATTCCGACAAAGTGATGATAACATGTAATGGGTCGATAACAATGAGTGGCATGGATTTCACTTTGGAAATGCTTTAGTTTTTGGTGATTATTTCATAAAATTGTAGTCTATGTAGTTCTTAAAATTATCTAGAAATTTAGTTTGACGCGTAAATCTTTATGTACAAAACTATTCAAAATTGGTGGAATTAACTTGTTAACCTTTAAATCCGTAATAAAAATTACAAAGTTATGATGTAATTGCTTTTCTCCTAGATGAATTTTAAAGCATTTTAAACGAGTATTATATCAAACCACTATTAAATTAATTTAATCACATAGATGTACAAAATTAGAATCTTCACTAAATCTGTAACCAAAATCGCACAAGTCTAAACATATTTAGACCTTTCAAAAATGCATCCACAGCATAATTCGACACAAAATTTCACTCTTTTCTCCCCATGAACTCCCCATCTCACATGTAAAATCCGACCCATAAATCCATCCAATTAGATAAACATCACCCTCACCCCGATACCCCAAACCAAGTCCTCGAGCAAAAAAGAAACTTAATTTAACATGACACGATTTAAACTTTACAAGACATTAGAGGTGAGCTGGATCGCTATTTTTTGAGATCCGACCCACTCAAAAAATTTCTAGATCCGATCTATTTAGAATCTAATTGGATCGGATCGGGCCATGGCTTATTCAAAAAAAACGGAAATCCGGCTCATCTCTAAACGACATACATAATTGCCTCATTTCATGTCATCCATCCTTTAGCCTGCATCTCATCTCATCCCATTTTATTTTATCTTGTGAACTTTCTCCTCCATCCAAAAATAGGTTGTAATCTCTTCTTTTCCTTTATCTACGTGTTTTCCATGTTTGTTTGTGTTTGTTGTTGTTTTTCTCTATCTGAATGTAATGTGTGTGTGTCCTGTGGATCTGGTAGGAGAAAAAGTGGAAGGAGTGGATTGGTTTTGAGTTTGTTGTTGATTGCTTTATACATTCATTCAAGAGTGGGTCGAGATGAGATGGAGGAAAAGTAAAAGTAGGGAAGGGATTAATTCTAAAGCAAAGCAAGCAAAGGAAGGAATGAAGGATTGAATTGAAGAAGAAAAGTAATGTAAAGTAAAGCATACACACTTCAACGAGACAGCAACTCAAGTACAGAGTACGTACTAAAGGCCAAGATTCCGTCCGGGCCAGGCAGAATATGTATGTGAAGAGGAGATGGCAGGGTTCGGTAAATTAGCAGGACTTTTTTTGTGGTTGAGGCAATCATTTTTTTTAATGTGTATTTTTCGAAAAGAATTTGAGAATGATGATACTAGTAATTGAAATTTGGAAATTGAAATTAGCAACATGTAAATTCTGTGTTTTAAATCTGAAGGTGTCGTAGATGTGCTCCCGGTATTATTAATCCTAAGTAGCTTCAGCTACTTTATACGAAGACTTTGTACGTCTGTCTGTCCGTAGGCAGGATAACGGGATAACGGATCGAAATAATCGAAATCAGTGTTCGGAATCATACATATGACCTCAGGAGGAGGATCCTATCAACTTTTGGGGTCAATCGGGCCACCCCCCTTGACGCCAAGGGGGTGTAGTCGGGGTAAAATGAGATTTTCGAGTATTCACGCAATACCGTGGGAGTGGTTGGGGTGAAGGGAGTCTGAAGTTACTTCCTTATGTGAGTTTTCGACGAATTATTTTTATCATGAGTAGATTCAAGATGAGTTAAAATTTTATGGAAAATTCTTCTCAGAAGTTAAACTTCTCATAATTTTCATTCCCATTAAACCACAAAAATCTCCTAATTTCCCTAACTAAAATTCCCCATGTTCGAAACCCTAACTAACCTACCACTATTCTACCCACCCACCCAAGCTTTTCTTGCCTGCTAAAATTCTCATATTGATTCACTCCAAGCTCCACTCTCCTCTCCTCTCTCGCCAAGTATTTAGAAAGCTGGAGAAAGTGAGGAAATCTTCTCCTGCAGTAGCATCATCATCATCAGGCAGCAGAAGCAACGGCAGGAGGAAAGCTACATAGTTCACGGGTCTCCTCCTGTATAAATATTCTGTATTCAGTCGTGTCCTTTACTCCGACGAGACCACCACACTCTGGATTTAGGCACCAGGACCACGGACGGATAGTGAAGTTGTATGTAGTTGTTCACATTGCCTTCGTCGTTGTCGTATTGGAGATACGGGACTTCAGAAACGACGATCAAGTACGCAAGAACCGTAGACTTTCTCCATCCGGCCAAAAGAGTGGAGAAGAGAGAAGAGGAAACTTGGGAGCCTGCTTTTGCCTGCAGTATGTAGTAGCAGAGTTACGTAAAATGAGAGTACTTATGTACCTTCTCCACAGGAATTCTTGCCATACTTACTACCCGGGTAGTGGAGAAGAGCAGAGCAGACGACCCGCCGTATCAACAAGGCGTTGTAAATTAAGTGTGAATGGATGGAATCTAGAGGGGAAAATATGCAGAATTTTGATTAAGGGTGCATAAAACTGCAGCATGACAAGGAATGGATATATGTATGGGCTTAGGAATATGCAAGTGAGTGAATGAGGGAGGTATTAGCATTTAAAAAATGGATACCGGCGAGATGCAATAAACATTGCTAGATTATGGGACATAGTGTAATGATAATGACACACCTGGCAAATCATGCAAATCATCAAATCATGATACTCATGAATTTGGGTCGAACGGATATTAGACAGTAGGTTTTGTGAAATAATTATACACTTCACAAGTGATAACGGATTTGGAATGTAATATCTTGACTTTCAAAAGTGCAATTATTTTTCATCGTAAAATATTGATTTACAAAGAACACAACTCCTCACTTAATTAAGTTTTGTAATATTTTATTATTATTCAGAAATGTTATTAAACAGACTTGGCCAAATTACTGATTTGATATGAAATATGCATTCCTAAATCTATGAAACTGTAGCAGAAACTAATTTATTTATTACATATGTATGCACATTCATATTTTCCCCAAACCTGTGTTCATCCTGGTGCGGCAGCCGGGAGGGCGGAGGACAGGAAGACAAAAAGGTACGAAGACCTTCTGGACAGATTCCTCTTTGTTCCCGTAGCCGTTGAAACAACTGGAGTATGGGGCAAGGAGGGCCTGTCCCTTATCAAAGAAATAGGGACAAGGATCACAGCCCTCACGGACGAGAAGAGGGCAACGAATTTTCTCATCCAAAGAATTAGTATCGCAGTTCAACGCGGAAATGTGGCCGCGATTTTAGGATCTCTGCCAGCAGGACGAGAGCTGGATGAGATTTTTTATCTTTAGGACGACAACAATTAGAGGAATTCTTTTTAAAACATTCAGATAGGGAAATTAATGTACGGCGCTGGTCGTTTAGCTTTGTCGAAATAAATGTATGTAAAATGAACATGGAAAGAACAATAATAAATACACAAATATGTTGGTCATATTTCATATTTTCCAGAAAGCCGTATAATAATGCAACTTTCTCCACTAATTGTACTAGTCCTCATCTACAGCTAAATTTAACTACAATTTACGCATGTATGTACATTCATATCTAACTACTAAAACCTGTATACACAAATGAATATCATCATGTCCTTTTCTCTTCCTCTCGCTAGGTAAAAGTTTGCGCAAAAATGGGAGAATAATTATTAATATTTTTAAACATGGTGGAATGTGTGCTGAGAAATCATGGCATCGTATCTGAAGGGAAAGCATGCAGGGTCCTTTAACTGTTTCCTTGGAAGATTTTTAGACATTTGGTGGTGCGCATCGGATACATGGATTTTATATGAAGCGTTATTAAATCGGGTGAGAACAATGTTTCCCACGGCAAATTCTGCAAACTTGGCCTTCCAGTCTGGATTCCTAATTGCATGCATGCTTTTCGATATTGATCCACGAAGCGGCGCGCCTTGTCACTGTCGCGTTGAGTACAAATCAGCAAGTATTTGTTCACATGTGCCTATTAATTCAAGATTTAGAAAGTTTTATTTATTGGTGCTAACTAAATAAATATTCAACATTATCTTAACATTCGGATTTTTGAGATCTTACAGGTTGGACAACACCGGACAGTGCATAACGGCTAAAGTCAGCTCCATCCAGCAGCAGCGAGCTACTTCTTGCCAAAATCTTGAGAGGTGGTCCAGCGTAGATCCGCGCCTCATTTGCTGTATGAAACGGACAATAGGACAACATTTTTTGTACAATGTAGTAACAGAGTTACGTACCATACTTACTACCCGGGTAGTAATGGAGAAGAGCAGACGACCCGCCGTATCAACAAGGCATTGTGTGAATGGAGGGAATTTAGGGGGGAAATATGCAGAATTTTGATTAAGGGTGCATAAATCTGCAGAATGACAAGGAATGGATATGAGGAATATGTAAGTGAGTGAATGGGGGAAGTAGCATTTAAAAAATGGAGTGAATGGGGGATACCGGTCAATTATGTTATATAACTTTATTAGGGATCTTATACGACTTGGGAGAGATTTCGAGATTATGACTTTAGTCTCAAATTATTATTATGTAACCGGAAGCACGCCTGGGAGAGTAGGCCTTCTTCTTTTCTTTTATTATGTAATTCCAGATTTAGGAATTTTGAGATAAGTTTTCACAGTGGGAATGTCGGATTTCTGCAGAACTGGAAAGAGCACAAGTCATACCTATTTTTGAGGCACCGGCTTTTGTAAAACGCAGGGTCCAGCCGTTTTGGTCAGTCGTTGATTTGGTCGGATTCAATGGTAAATTAATTATTCTGGTAAAATTCTCTAAATGAACTCCGCTAGAAAATCAGCCTCCAGAAAGTAAACTAAACTAACTAAAGTAATGCAAGTAAGCAATGGAATCAATTAATGAATGCCGGAGCACGTCACAAGCTTTTCTCATCCACTTTCCATTTTGGGGCCCAGCAGCATCCTGTTCAGATTGAATAAAACTTGTTCAACCATTTCAAAACTCGCAAATTTGTCAATTCATCTATCCAATCCAATTCCAGTAAAATCTGCTCCAGAGACGACTGCCAGTCTGTCTGCCTTCCTTCCTTCCTACGATGTACTTTCTCTTGCTAACACTAATAATACACACATTTTATAGGGTTTCGTTTTGTGGGGGAAAAAGTGCATTAAATTTATGAAAAACTGGGCAAAAATCTGGAAAGTTTTAAAGAGGAGGGCATATTATTATTTGACCTAGTTTTGTTAATTTTAGACAAAAATTTTACAAATGAATTGACAATAAAATCTGTGATAAATTGCATTAGCTTGCAACTCCTATTATCAAATAGCCTAAAAGTGTTCAAACTGAACATCAGAATTATCCGTTGCATACATTTAGCAAGAGAGTTGGCTACACGACTTTTTGCACGGCACAAAAAAAGTGAACCATTCATTTAATTTTTTTGCACTGCGAAATATATTGAAGTCATACCGTATCAATTTACCCCACTTGAAGCAAGTTAAAAACAACCTTTGTGATTAACAAAAATCGTGCGGGAAACTAAATTGCTGTATGAAACGGACAGTAGGACAACACTTGTTTGACGCCATATTCTCCCATTCTTTCCCAAAATCTGTCCTCCTCTTTCCCGGAAATCCATGCAATTTCACCCACTCCCAACATTTTGAAACACTACTCCTCATTCCCCACCAGACCAGTCCTTCGTCCTAATCAAATAACAGATTGGATTGGATTTCCCTACCATACCAGAATTTGAATTCGTAATGAAAAATTACACGATTATACAACTTTGTGTCCCGTTCCACTGGGATGTTTTCGCTTTAAAGGGGGCATTTAAAATACAGGGTTCGCCTCGTTAACTTTCTTCCACCTTCCCCAAGGCTGCATAGTGAGTGGGAAAGTCATGATAATAATAATTACAACTGTTCCCCTACATTGCATGCCACAGAACTTGACAGATTACTTTCTCACCCAAGCCAAACTCAAACCATAAGGAAAGCCCCACTCTGAGGGAGAAAGTTTCTGAAATACTTCAATTTGTTTTGACACTTGAAGGCGAGGGAAGTAAATGTGTAATGAAACGGTTCATTACTGCTTCCACCCCAAAAACACCATTGCCACCACGACTATCCTACCTATCCTTAAGGGGAAGAGGAAGTCTAAAAAGTCCCCCCTAAAACTCCCTCCAGTATTCTTATCACGTTTCAAATTATTCCATGAATCACGAAGAGAATCTACTTCTTCTTCTTCTTCTCTGATTCTACAGGATTTTTTTTTCGAAAATAAATTCATTCCATAAAAACCTGTCCCTACTTTGGCCATGATTCAATTCGATTTCAATTCTATCAGCATTTCAAGCCAGTCCTGAATTGAAATTCACTTCGAGGACGCGGAGGTGAAAGTGAAAGTCGAATCTGATCCTTTTTTGGCCTGTATCTTATTATTTTTTGAAAATCACGACGTCAAGGAAAGTATTCCCCCTGTCAAAGTAAAGTCAAGGTGGGATCGTTTTTTTGTGCTTGAATGCGTAAAATTGATGATCAGTTATGAATTCGGGTTTCGAGATGAGATCTTGTTTCTTAAGAACCCTTGGGTGTATTCTGTTCTGAAATTGTGGTATCGCCGAGAGGTCGACGGTGTCGGTACGCATGAGGGACTTTGCCTCTGATACTCTCGTCTTTCCAGCCGTATAATAAATGGTGTATGGGACCTGCCCGAAGGAATTGTCGCATTCAGCCGTGACAGAGAACAAAATAGGAAAACATTTCACAGTGGCCGCGGAAGCGTAATGTCCCCACGGTTATTCAAAGTCCCCATTATCTCCCCATGCTATGTAACGCCTCCCTCCCCTATCCTGCAATGTTTATGTCCCCACAACTTCCGCGGCCACATGTTGGGGTCTCCTCATTCCATCATCAATCTCAGACCCGTGGCGGTGGAGGGACGCGGAGAGAGAGAGAGAGGGAGAAAGTGCTGGATTTTCTGGTTCGGTTTTGGTCACCCGGTCGAGAGTCATGAAATGCACCTCGTAAATCACTACACAGGACGAATCTTGCTCACACACAGAGGGAGAGTAGGATTCGACCTGAATTATCGGTTATGTTGAAATCCGGTGGTGGAAAAAGGGAGATCAATATTATTAGTGGGACGGGCGACGTTTGGCAGGTCTGGTGGAGACTTGGATGCAATCGGTTACTTTACTTATTGGATGGATGGAGAGAAAAAGTCCTTCTTTTTTTGCATGACTCTTTTTCATCTTTTTGAATCCAAGAAACTTTCGGAGGAAGTGGGAGTGGTTGAGGCCGCGGCGGAAGTGAGAATTGATTTCTCTTCCCGGATGCATTTTTACTTGTATATAAATCCAACCCATGAAATGAGATCGTGACTTTTACCGGTGAAATTTTTCGTAGGGGGAGGAGGGTTCTCTTGCCGGATACGTTTTTGCACATGAATTAAACCAAATGAATTTAAATTGGGGTAAAGTATGCCAAAGGGGTCATTTTACTTAAATAGCTTTATAAATATCTCAACTTTCCCCCAGCCAGAAATACATAAATGCATATATAACTTAACCGAGCAGAACATAACAAACTTCTAAATCTGAAAAGTCCTAAAATGTCTCCGTTTTTATAATGGCTCATCCTCCCCTTTCTCTTTCTACGAATTGTGTGATTCTCATCTAATTTAATTCCAAGAAATTGGACATGGCACAACAGAAAGTTGCCAAAATGGGTCCATGCATGACTTTCTCTTACTACCCGCTCCATTCTTGAGTGAGAGAGAAAGAGACAACAGATACAAACAGTTTTATGATAACATAGTGCCATAAAATGAATCCGGGCACAGCATATATGAACACATTACACTCTCCGTCTACATATTACTCTTGGTGAGATAAGCGAATATTATGTAGCAAGTAAAAAGATGCAATCTCGCATTTAATCAGGAACGACCAGAGCCCTTCACCTTGGATAAGAAGGAGAGAGAATACGAGTAAAAAGGGGTATAAATAAGGCCCAGCAAAGTGAAAGCAGGCCAAGCGAATGTCCACACGCAGCACTTTACATATACTGAAATTTATAAACAAATTCTCCTCAAAATATATCTATCGGCGACTTTCCTTTTACAACTTTAGCTGAAAACTTTCTCCCAAAAAATATACATCTTTATACAACTTTCGCTGGTGCAAATTTCACACATTTATTTGCATCTTCTCCCCCACTTCTGTGTGAATAAGTAGTCTTGAATAATTCTGTCGTAGTCATACTCATCTTATACATACATGCATAAGTTCCTATACTTTCTCCACTTCCTCCTCCATCCTCCAGGTTTCGTGTATGTTTTATAAATTATCATAAAATCAATGCATGTGTGAATGTCAAAACAAAAAGAATAATATTATTGAATTTTCTCTCCATCCTTGGTGAAACCAGCCAGCTGATGCTTCAGATATTTCTCAATTTATTATTTTATGTATCAAGAAA